CTAACTCGCGCTGGTGGATACTTCGGTCGGTTACACCGACGAGCTGGCAAGCGGCTCTCACGCTTCGAGAAGGGCGGAAAGAACGCCGCGCCGCGAGATTCGACGCTCTTCGGACTCTCACGAGGAAAATTTTTGATCTTTTTCCGAGTGAGCTCCGATTTCCCGAATTCACGATGTCGAATCGACGGCCTAACGACAACGTGTCCTCTGAGGCTGTATCGGGGATGCAAAGCGTCTCAGTGAAGTCGGAGGCGGTGCCGGCGCGCAAAGGGAAAATGTGCAAGCATGCGGACAAGAATCCTTCCTTTCTCGTGTAATGATCAGAAACCTTCGACCGGGGTAATGAGAAAATGTTCAGGCACTGTGGTGGCGCTTCTTAGGGTCTTTATACGGACCACCCCGACCGCTTCTTCTCCGCGCTTTTCGATCGGTGATTGGGCTTCGACGATGATGAAGTGCGCTAGCCGCGAGCGAGTCTTCCATCCTTGTGTGGAGGGACAGACAGAGAGACAGATCGACCGACAGACGATCGAACGGACAGTTCAACTGATTGATGGGTTGATGGATAGTCCGAAAGATAGTCCGCCCAGCTTCCCGTTCGCTCGGAGAGACTCACGCCGGGATTCGAAAGGGAGAAGTGTCTCGAATCTGAGGGAATTCAGAATCGTTCGCGAAATACGAGGGATATTGACTCGGTGGTCAAAGGGTGATTCTTCCCGACAGGGCTTCCCTCGAGTCTTCGAAACGAAGATGCGGTGGATCCTCCGTCCGTCGCTCGGAAGCGTCGTCGTCGACGCTTGATTCAAGCGACTCTGCAAGCACACCTGGTCGATCCATCAGAAGTTCGCACCTTCTTCTCCCGATGATTAGCCCACGTTCGAAGAAATCAGAAACAATGACATCGGTACAAGAGACAATGAACTGACCGAGATGAAAGAATGCAGCTAAGCAGGAACGACCGTCCCCGAGGCATGAATAGATGTCATTTCGAATAGATCCGCGAGAAGAAGCTCGAGTTCTTTTGGAGTTACACGTGTTTTCTCGTCCAGCATCGAATGCATAGATCATGAGCCTTGAGAAGGCGCGGAAACTTCCATCCGTCGACGGTATTGATGAGAGACTCACTCAGAGATGGAACACTTACGAGAACTGTAAGTTCGACGAATCGCATTCAGGGACTTGATTGAAAATTTTGAAACGTTCCCGAACGATTCGACTCCGCCCCCCTTCAACCTGGAGGAGTTGACAGGAGCCCTTTGTCTGTTTCCAAGGTTGTTCTTCTGAAAACGCCGGCGCAGTGCGCTAAACCAGAGTTGGCACTCACCGTGTGAGACACCATGATTTCCACTCACCACGATTTTCTCTGCATGGATCGATATATCTCCTTATCAAGTTGACTGTTGTGTTATCGGCGTGACGCTCCGTGCAATTCGCTGCAGAGCAACCACGCAGCGTTTCGGCTGCGACGGCGCGGCGACGGCGGCGGCAGTCTTCTTCTCCACTCAAATCCGTATCTCCGGTCCGTATCTTCCTTCGATGGATCTTCGGTTGATCCTCGGCTCGTGTTCCGCCTTCCCGATTAAGTCGCTTTGCCTGCCTGCCTGGTTGGCTGGCGGCGGCCCTTTGCTCGGGCTTCAAACGCCGCCACGCCGCCCGTATAATTTTACGTCGATTATAATATTTTATGCAATTAACGTTTACTTGCTCGCTCCTTCGACGAGAAAGCAAGTCAGTCAGTTAGTCAGTCAGTCAGCCAGTCGACCCGCCGGCCGGTTGTGCTCGCTCGATCTGCTCTTCTTGGCGCTTTTATCGTCGAGGAGCACATCGATGGAGGAGTAGTCGACGTTGGTGTCGACGACGACGGAAGAGAGAAAAATGAGAGAATTGAGCGTAAAAATTATCAAGAGATGCTCGACCGATCATCGGTAATTGCGGACAATTCACAGCATCACCTTAAACGGAACAAGAGGGCAGGCTGATTGGCCCGCGTATTATGTTCGACGTTCTGCAATTTTTCCTCACTCGCATTCACTGCTTATGATGCCGCTTCTCAGTCGAACGTGGAACGTAATTGTAGTGAGTACGACGACGAGGAGATATCTCGTCCCGATATGGCGACGACGACGCTGACCCGCCTCTCACTATGTTCTTCTGCTCCGTCCCCGAAGGCAGATTCGGCATCTCACCGACCAGCACCCTGTTGGGGTTCCCGTAAGAAACGGCACCGGAGCCGAAAATGTAATCGATCGAGCACAGAAGCGAATGATTTTTTTTACTCAGTTTCCGATGCGCGGTCCGGAACAACAACGACCAGTCGCCGAGTGGGCTGGGTAGATATTTCTCCTTCGACCATCGACCAAGTTGAGAGGGGAAAAGAGAAGAAAGCGGCTTGAGCTCCGAAGGCTCTTTGCTCGAAGCCGAGCGCAGTGGATCGTCTTAGGACGCCTTCGGCATGAGGCGACTGCGCTGCGATCGAACCCGAACGACAATGATTTGTGATCCAGATGGGACGTCAGGATGTGAAACAAGTCAGAATTGACTTGTCGATTTGGACTGTTTTTCTTTTTTTTTCTTCTCCGTCGTCCGGCTTCTTTCTCTTCTCGGAGACGCTGCTTCTGTAGTCACTGAAACTGCCTCCGAGCTTCCCGCCTTGGTCCCCTGTGGCGATTCAGAGTGAAAAATAACAACAGATTATCAACAACGGGATAAAGTCGGATCATCCATTTCAAGCCGGTTACGTGTTCCTTACACGACACAGCCTGACTCGGAAGAGAGACCTTCTCTGCTGTCAATGGCAATCACGACTTCTCCCATTGACCATCCACCCTAGGGGAGATGTATCGCGCCGACGAATTGAGGACCTGGAAAAACCGCAAGCTGTCGAGTTTTCGGACGCTCCCTTGTTCAAGGCTCTGAGCTCTCCCGAAGCAGCAGAACTAAAAATTTCGAAAACCAGCTCCGAACACAGTGAACGTCGACGGAATTACAATGAGAAGTTCGGATGTGATGAAGCTCACTCATGAGTGACTTCGGGGTGGTCTCTCAGAATGTATTGGTGTTAAAATGTAACAACTTGCTGCCGCTGGTTGACTGGTCTTTTTCGTTGGCATTGGACGATTGCGAGGGAAGCGGCTGAGAAAAGAAGATGAACAACATACTGACTGCCCTGCTCGCGAAGTAGGCGATGTACCAAGTGTGCGACCTCCTTGGCGAAGATCAATCACGGACCAACGAATCGACATCTAGCGATAGATGCTCGAGCTAACGACAGAAAGAACACCGTTCCTCGCATGACACGTTTGTCGTCCGCTAAATCTGCAGCGTTGAAATGCGGGTCGCTTCCTTCGGCCAGCGCTACGCCTTATCTCCGGAGGGGACGGAAAACCTAGGAGCGATCCCCTTCGAGCCCTCTGTGTTGGCGACGTCATTGACACGCCTGCACAAACATTAGAGGATTCCGTTGAGGAAATTTGCAATTCTTTCTCGTTTACGCTCCGACTGGATCGTTGGCTGACCAAACGAACCAGATGATGAACATGCGAACTCACAACACGCCGGCACCGTCGTGCCGACTGAGCGAAATATTATTCGCACTTCGTTCAGACCGAGCTCTTTCGATCGAAGTCGATGACTCGGCCACCACCATGGTAACGACGTTGGCCGCAGCCGTGGCGGCAGCCCTTAAACTCTTGACACGACAAACAAGCATGCAAATTCACCGTGCGGGCAGAATTAAGGCGAGATAATCGACGCGTACATTGCCAAACAGTCCCACAGAGCCGAAACCGTCGGACGGAGGGATAAATAGATGCACAAACGGATATTTACGCACCTTCATTGTCAGATAATCGAATGAGCTCGCACTTTGAGGCAAGAATGTGTCAAATCCTCCGCGCACAGGAATCTCAAGGCCCTGCGGTCACGAGCCGTGCTGGAACGATTCTACAACGGAAGAATGTTGTCCCGGAAATCAGAGCTCCGGGAAAATCTATTCGCACGGACTTCAACTCCTGGTTAAGGATTCGATTTCCCCTCTGCGGATCATCTACTCACACATGACGACAGCTTCGAGGAAGCTGTATAGCAAAATTTACTCTTACGATTTATCTTCCTCGTACAATCGGCTCCCTCGTTCCAAATCATAGTATCTCAAAAGCCAAGTTCGTCAACAATGCGAATCTTTCGAGATGTTTGATTCATTTTCGAAGTGCATTAACGAGTCTCCCGAGTCGGAAGGCATCTAGTACCACTCGAAATTCGTCACAAACTAAGGAGCTCGACGGAGGTACACGAGGATACATGAGTTCTCGGGGCTTCGATTGAAATGCACGAATGGAGAGCGACCAGCGAGTGAAGATCTCTCTGATTCGAGAATAGAATACTGGTTGTCCTGCTGAATTTGTGAAACTTCACATCGGGCTCTGGCTCGGAGCTAAGACGTGTTCTCATTCGTGTTGTCGATCAATGATCAGCTTGTAGTGGCTGTATCCGTCGTGTGCGTTGGTTTGTCAACAGGAGCCCCTGGACGATCCCAGGATCGATCCGATGAATTCTGTCGGCTTGTACATACAACGACAATAATGTTCGCTTCGTTGATTTCAGAGCGCCTGGTTGCATCTAATGTTCCTCAAGACGATGCTAGCAAATTCTACGGACCGCCGTTCAAGCAGAGGCGGTTGAGTTCGTCCTCGCCCGACTCCAACCCCCGATCCGCATCTCCCCCCGTGTCGAATGGTAAGCGTGGCTTTCACAGAGAAGGACAATAATATTCCCGAGGCATCTACGAAGAAAAGAAGCAATGAGCTCGTTGCTCACGACAGGGAAGGAGAAAAACCGTAGAAGAACCTTAGAGCACTCTTTTTCTGGAGACGATATCGACATCACACATATCTTTTCTCCTCATAGGAAATCTTCGGAAAACCCAATCGCACCTCCGAGAGGATCTTTTCGAGAAGGAATCCTCTCAGCCCGGGAAAGAACGCGATCGCACAGACCGGATAGAGAATCCGCAATGCCAGCCGAGATGCAACTCCGCCGATCTCGAAAGGGTTGAAGCCCACCTCGAGACGAAGGAGTTGTGGGACAAATTTCACACTCTCGGCACGGAAATGATCATCACCAAAACTGGCCGGTTCGTACCATACCGTATGCTTATGAATATATCTTAGCCTCGATAGGTTTTATGAAGGATTCGGAGGGATCCGTTTCGACAGTGCGAGCGGGAAGGATCTCGGACATTCAATCAGCGCACTCGGCTTTGGGTATCGTCTCGGAAAAATCTACCCCAAACAAGGATGAGCGAGAACGCTGGAAGTCGTCAAGCGATTTCACGTCTGCCTCGCGCGGCACTGTTCAGCGGCCTGCGCACTAAAGACAGACATTAATATTTCGGCTCGAATGAAAAACGCTCACAATAATTGGCCTTTGCGGCAGACGATTTTTCAAACTTTACGAAACTCGGAGCGGCATCCGCGAGGGGCTTTACCGTACGAAATCTCCTCCCGATTCATTCATCAATCGGGGCGCTTCGCCGGAGCAGGGTTTGGACTCAGCTCCCAGCTCGCTATACGATTCGTGAAGCCTTGTTGCGCGACAGCCAAGTGAGATGTTGATTACTGTTATCATCGAGAATTATTGTCGGGTTCCGACCCCGAGACCGATCTGGTCAACGTCATTGCTGTGACTGAGGCATTTGTCACAAGGATTGCTCCGACCGGCATTGCGTTGAAAAGCCGCGAAGCTCGACCGTGCTCCCTCCAGGAATCTCTCGGACCTCCATTGCCTCAGTTTGAGGTAGTCTCTCCATCAGCACTTCGTCTGCTACGAAGACTTGCGAATTGGATCTGCGGCACCCACTTCCTACTGGACAGTCTTCCTCCCCGCTCAGTCAGTTGCATTTGTCTCTCCCTCCCTCTCCGTCACATTATCCACCCATCCGTCCATTCATCTATCTATCCATCCATTCATTCATCCGGCGGAACATTCATGCAGTCTTCCATTCGGTCGGGTACTCGCCATTAGCCGCATGCACTCTCTCGAGATAATTATTCCGCTGATGGAAGCCACCGACTGGGCTGTCAGCTTCTTATCTCTGGGCGACCAGTTCACCGAGGGCAAAGTGATAAGCAGCGACGACTCGCACCTCGCGCAGAGCATCATAGCGTATCAAACGCCTAGATAAGACGGACAGATCGACGAATGAATGCCAGATGATCCACTCGATAGATCTCACGTGAACCTCCCGCGTATGATGGCTTCGCTCCCTGGAGTCGGCTCGCTGTCGCTCAGGCTAGTTCGTCAAAATGCTGCGTCAGGCTGTTGCTTTCAGTCGGCATGCTCACTACGAAAGCTTACAACTTGATTCCGAATCCGGCTAAGCGGCACGCGACAGGCGTAACGTGTGCACGAACACGGACACCATGTTGACACAGCCGACGAGATGAGCCGTCGAGAACCGCACGTTGCGCTGTCCTGGAGAACGTCTCCCGGCTTCCATGTCACGCTCAGCATTGAGCTAACTCATTCGAAATGTTAATGTCGACCCGGCCAGGAACATGGTCCCGCTAAAAAGAAAACTAGCCATTCCGAAGGCTCCGCCTATGACTATGTAGGCGAGAAACTGAAGTAGTCCGAGAGCATCGGAAAACTTACGGGGGAAAAAACAGGCGTCAGAATACAGGGATTTCCATGAGAGGGGAGCGAGAGACATGGCTCGGATGAATTCAACGCTGTACGCGTGGACGTCGTTCGTCTTCGGAACATGAAGCTTTCCTTTTACGACGATTTGTCACCGCTCGGAACTGTCGGTCGGTCGCGGAGACGACGACCGTGCTAGCGAAACCAGCAGCCCTCACCAAGCACAAGAAAGGTACACGGCGATAATGACAGGGTGAAATATTAACATCTTCACGGGGCCGGAGAGCGCTTACAGCAAACTTACACTGACATCAAATTGCAAACATCTTGATCAAGCAGACCTCTGTCGAACATCGAGAAACGTGTAGCAAAATTATTACGACGACACTTTTTATCGTTAGCACTCTGCTAATGCTGAATATTTAATTACTCTGCGTCGAGCGCAGGGAGCAAACTTTAGTTTGCTGTGCCAGAGGGTTCGAGTCGCCGAATTCGCTTGAGAAACGCAAGTTTCAAGGCTCTCTTCGACAGTCGATACAGGAACGGAACCATACGGTCTTCGTGGTGGCGAGTCCAGCGTTTTCTCCTGATAGGCGAACCTTTTTTCTCCCGCGGTGCCTAATAAAAGAAAAAGAGTGGTAGAACTAGACTTCCCGTTCGCTTCCATACCAAGAATCTCGACGAGAGGCGATTGCTCTCGGATGCGGATGACGGCGAGCTCTTTTCAATTAGACGATGAATGCACGGCTGTCCACGAGCCGTGGAGGCTTTTCTTTCCGATCTGTTGGCCACTAGGTATTCCTACTCTTATTATCTCTCCGAATTCCATCGGAAGCGCATGGAATAGCCTTCGGAGTATCGTTCATGGCAGACAGTTACTTTCTGACTGTCCGTTTGAGGGTAAGGAAATGAAGCGCTGCCGATCGGAACAAGCTACCTTACGCGGTTTCCGATATCGGGCCTGAGACCATATAGTAAAACTCGGCGTGATCCGAGGATTATCCTCTCAAAATGGGGAAGAGCGTCAGGTCTCTCCGTCCATAATCGGGAAGTCGTGTGGTTTCGACGTCGATTTGGTTCCTGTGGAGGAACGTGGCCCTGACGTCGGGTATTCGCCATGCTCCTACGTAGTGTGTGAATTTGCCAGCTTGTGAAGTCGAACAAGTCATGATCGTCGGTGCGGTAACAGATGGACGCAAACACAGGATTCATTTCTCAGACAAACGATCTCCCTCCCTCTGTGGAGATGACTCGAACCGCGAACATTCCACAAATCGGCTGCTTCGCACGTCCGTTGCGACAGGAGAATTCCGTCGACGGAATATCTGCACCCCTCATTGACGGGGAAGTTTCAGAGCTAACACTTTAGATTTCGAGGTTCATCCGGTCCATATGTTTCTGAAATAATTATTCTCTGGCAAATCCCCTCCCTTGAGCTCCACTCCTTCTTTTTCGAGCTTCAAAAAGAGTGGAAGCAGCCGCGGAAGGAATGGCCCGGCCGGATACTTGCTGCCAGTGGCTGTGTTGAATATGACCTCTTTATGACGCCCTAAAACATCTTATTTATGCTTCTCCATCGGCACTAAACGGTGGATATCTCGTCGTTTTAGAGGGAACCGCGAGCCAAGAGAAAGTGAACTGTTTTTAGTCAAAACATACTTTCACTCCAAAAAAATTATACGATTCTTCTTCTCCACTCTGCTTAAGAAGTCCGACTCAGACACTCGAACTCTTGAGGAACACATTGCCGACGCGGTCGTCATCTATTATTCCATCTTGATTGGATCATCACGCCGTGCTCGATCATGATTTCTCACTTCCTCCTCGTCGAAAACTATTGTGAAGGAACCATGCATTTTCAGCGCTCTAGTTCCTCGCTCCCCCCGTTTTCGTATCGGTCGCCGGCCGCGTGGAGAGTATTGTGAGGAGATCTTTGAAACTGAAACCCTTGTAGCTCTGAGGGAATTTGATGGAGCTCGTCGCCTGTTACGAGTCGATATTTTTGTCCCGAGTGTTCGACACACAGAAACAAACGCACAAGTAAGCTTACACAACGAGTAGGGAGCTAGAAAGCGAGGCGAACAACGCTCACCCTTGACAGCACACGGTCTGCTGTGTGCATCCTTCGTGCTTGCCCGCCGGGCCAGAGCGGGTTTTGTGCAAAAGTGCTTGGGTGTGCGTGTGACTGATTCTTGACTGTGATCTACGCATTAAAAACTAGCTCTGCCGTTGTTTTTATGCCGCTGCGTCTCGCTGGACAGACAACTGTCACGTCGAGAGGCTTTCTGTCGACCGAGAAAAGTGTCACCGCTCTTTGGAATGTGACCGGGTCGACGAGACGACTCATCTCCGCGGATCGGAACGAGCGAATATTTCGACCGAGTGATCCGAGGAGCCACAGAGATACCCCCCAATCTACGCGGCCAATATCCCGCCAGAAAATAATATCATAGATAACATTCACCACGCTATAGCGACATATGATGCGCGACTTTAATGTATGGTGTTGTAGCCGTCAATGCTCGAGATCAAGCTCAGCCATGGTCTATTTTACCCAAGTTATGATTATCCTGGCATGAGCAAGCGGATAAAATGATATCAAGGGGCGAGATTTCCATTTGGAGGGTGCGTCTACCGCTCAACCTTCCCGGGAATCTCCGACAGCTCTCCACGCATCGGGGGTTCGTCTTCGTCGCGAACGTTCAGCCTGTTGATCTCCCGAATGTCACAGAAGCCCTCATTCGCGGAGACATCGTCTAGCCAAGGATAAGAATTCGTTGAAAAAGGGGAAGGACTGAGCTCGACTCCTGTACGGAATGCCGTCGCCTACACCCCGCTTCGCGTGGCGTTCGAACTCCTTGGATGAATAATGGGCCGAGCACGATTTAAAGATCCTATGTTCCGGATATTCGAGAGTTTTCACGAGCTCCATGATTGCGACAGAGAGTCGTCATGTTCATTCTGGAGGTCTCTTCTCGGAAGGTATGCGAGCAAAGCAGAAAACGAAACGGACGGGATGCCATGACGGCTTGAGAGTCTCGTCGGCAGTGGCCTGTCCGATAGTTTCGATCGGGTAGGCCCGACATTAGCTCCGATTCAATAAATCGATGCATGAACATCGATTCGTGGTCCGCAGCACTCTGTTCGGTGTAGAGCCGTGAGATACCATTTCGATATTCTCTCATCCTTCCGCCTGGCTGAAGGACCCTCGTGATTGCGATCAATCAGATGATTGCCCGATTCCTCCGAGACTCCGATAAACAGATTAGCTGGCTCTTGGCCGAGTTCATCGCCTATAGTCGGCGCTCAACTCCAAGAATCTTCTCGCAGGGGAGAGAGAGGATTCCCTCGTCAGTTGTCTGATATCGAAATGTTCTAATAATTAGCACGATGAGGACGAAAAAAGATCGATAGCTGGAATGATGGAAGGGTCTGCGTGGAATGAGTTTCCTTCGAGGTTCTGATACAAGTAGTGAGCTGGATTGCGATTTTTTCTGAAAACCAGAGATCGTGGCGGACTCATTTTCCTCCATGTTGAAAGCTCATTTGAATTCTGTCAAGGTGAACGATATTATATGCAGGGAGGAAAGGCGCCGCTGTCGACACCAGCAAATCACAAACTCACACAAACGTAGCCGGCGAGCAAGCGAGAGTCACGCAGTTGCGACCTCACGTCAAGCACGTCAACTCCCTTTCGAATTTGCATTCGGTCGGTCATCTATGTGCGAAACTTTCGAAAAGCAGCGAGGCACTTTTCAAATTTTCGAGGAGTCGAATCATTCGCGTCCACTCCGTTTGTTGTTAGATTTCCTTTAAACGTGAACGCTGTTACTCGCCGAGGCGTTTGCCGCCGTCGACGATGACGCCGCTGCAACTCACGCACGACGGACTGACGGAAAAACGGACAAGCGCACGCACGCGAGGGCGTCGTCTATTTAGCATACAGTGTCCATCGAGCTCGCTGACGGTTGTCCGACTGACGCTTTTCGTTTTAATATAAACGGCTCTATTCGTCGGCTCGTCCATCGTAACAGGTCGCACGACAGATCGTCATCGTCTCCCTGAAATTAGCATCTCGGAACAGAAGAAAAAAATCGAGCTCTTCGGGAGGGGAGGAATTACTAGCAATGGCGTTACCACAGCTCTCCTCGAGTTTCCTGCGACTTCTTCGTCTGAAGAATGGTTCCTCCAGCCTATCAGCCGAGTATCTGAGACTCGAGACTCTCGCTGCTACTCCGTACTCAATATTGATTCTTGATCACTGAGGTCATCGAATCAACGTTCCAGCTATTGATGATATTCAAGGTCTTTTTTCAAAGTTTTTTCGGACTCAATGGACACAGCGGCCATCCTGGGACGGCTTTCAGAAGGCTCTCAGACAGTGATCAGTCCCTCGCAAATGCAACACACCTCGTTCGACTTGCTCACTGGCAATCGGAATTTTCGATCTCCGAACGAGACCGTCATCCTCGCTGATATGATCAATAAACAAAGAGCAAGAATCGTTAGTCGACGAGCGGGAAAGGGAGAGAGGTCCTCATGGAGTAAGACCATGTAGAAAAAAAAACTCGAATCTCTCGCGTTTGTCACCTGAGTAGCGTGACCGGCTAGGTCACACCACTAGTTGTTGAAACAATCGATGCTTCCGTCCACAGTGAGATCCTATCGCGCGAATCTGAGTGGGGTCAAGCTACTGCGTCACGAAGACTCCTTTCTGTGCGATTGAACTCTCCCGAATTTCCACTCGGGCGGACTCTTCGCGGGAAAGCTCTTGGGTTGATGGACTAAGATGAAAAAACATGAAGACGACCAGACAGTGTTAGTGCCGGGAATCTCGGAGTTTCCTTCCTCCGAACTTTCGATGTGCGACGTCATTGACTGAAAGAGTTGAGTGAGACGCTCATGATGCTCGAAGTCAGACGACCGGCCTGAGCTATGTATCATAAATCAAAATGTCTGGAGGAGATCTGCCGACCCCGTTTAACAAGCTCATATGCACATCCGCGCTGCATTGCATGAATCGATATAGCAGCGGCGGCAGCGGACGACTGCAGCGAACCGCTGTGTAAACTCAAGGGGTGGTTACAAGAGAAAGGCTGGCACCATCGGCACGCTCATTGTTGAGCACGTGATTATCCTAATCAGGCCGAACAGTCCGTGGTCTACCAGATCTTCCACGAAAGCGAATTCCTGTTGGACGAACGAGATGGTAGGCATTAAAATCGAATTATGGAACGGAGGGGACGGGCGACCTGTTCTTGGCCGAGTGCGGTAATATATGGATAGTGCTCCCTCGCTCGCTCGCTCGTTCGTTCGCTCGCTCTTGCCGATGGCTGGCAAGGCTCGAAGACTGGCAGACTCGTGAGATGGCTCGTGGAGGGCCGACCACTTAGTGATCGCCGTAAAAAAATAGCAAAATGACGCCCGGATAATGATAGCTGCGGGTAGTCTTATCATGAAGAAACCATTACCGGAGAGGTGCCGGTCGAGGTTCACACCGTAGGTTCAGGAGAAGAACTTCGATGAAATCGACGCATAGAGGGTCGACGGATTCTGGATAACAATGTCCGAAGGCGATTTCCATTGAACTATCGGCTCGTTCGTGTGAAAACTTCCGATCGGAAGCCTATTGGTCGTGGCTGCGAATTTCGAGTGAATCCTCGAATGGAATCCGGTGCGGGTTTCTGAGAACGGACGCGTGCCGTACCAGTGAAGTTTCCGCAGAAAGCGATCATGATGATGGCTAACAGACTGGAAAATCGGAAATATTTCACTATGCGGCCGATTTCGACGTATCCCACTTCCCTGGAGCTGATTTCGATCTCATTCATTCCAGACGAATGTTTCCGACAGTGCGGGTTTCCTTCACTGGTCTGAATCCCAACGAGCGGTACGGAGTCCTCATGGATATCGTGGCCTGCGATAACAAACGATATCGCTACGCATACCATCGTTCATCGTGGCTGGTCGCCGGAAAATCGGACCCCGCATGTCCTCACGTCCTCTATCAGCATCCGGATTCGCCTTTCCAAGGAGACCAGCTACGGAAGCAGGCGAGTCTCTGGCGCACTGTAGCTCATCGCCGTCCGGCTAACCCTCAATTTCTCAGAAGCGGATCGGTGTGGGTCTGAACGCTCTTCTTTCCGATCAATAGAGGATCTATCCTGATTCCAGGTGGTGTCTTTCGAGAAGGTCAAGTTGACGAACAACGAGATGGACAGACAGAATCACATAGTTCTAAACTCGATGCACAAGTATCAGCCGAGGATACACCTCGTGAAGCTCAGATCAGATTTCTGCAATTCAAATGGCATGCCGAGTTTAGAGAGGGAGGAGTACAAGACGTTTGTATTCCCGGAGACCACGTTCACTGCCGTCACGGCCTACCAGAACCAGTTGGTGAGTGAAGCCCCGTCCTGGCACCCGGGAGGCCCGGAACACGATTCAAGAGTTCGCCGATGTAATCACCAACCATTGCACTCGAATTATTTCGTCGAATCGCTTCCATTAAATTATGCATATATTTTGGATATAATTTGCACGACTTGAGCAAAGATTACTTGGGAATGCTTCCCTTCATTGATGGATCCGATCCTTTTCAGATAACTAAGCTCAAAATCGATAGCAACCCCTTTGCTAAGGGCTTCCGGGACTCCTCGCGCTTGACAGACCTCGAAGGTGACTCCGTGGAAAGCTTACTGAGAGAGCACGCGATGCGACATCTCCCATTCGCTCGAGCTGTTTTCACTGGCGATCTGCCCCCGCCTACTCCGGAACAACAATTTCTAGCGACGACCTCGGGTAAGCTTCCTCGTCCCTCTCGCAATCAGGAAACCTCGATGTCCTTATACCTCAATCTTTCTGAGAGCGACTCTGGGACCATGATAGCGCAGATTCCTCGTGTTCCTCGCTCGCACTCTGAAGAGGAACTTCCCAATCCTAATCGGTCCACCGAGACTCGGGATCGAAGATTAAAAGAAGTATCACTCCCAATTTTCGCAGCCTTGGGAAGGATGCCGACGTCTTCGGAACTCCTCCTATTGCAAGCAGCGGCAACAAATTCTCCTTGGGCAAAACTGGCCGCGGCAGCGACCCTCGGTCAATCCTTCGGTGCGTTACAAACGAACGCCATGGCGGAAATCCATGCCCTCATGGCACAACATCAGGCACTCGCGGCAAGTGGTTCGCAACAAGCTCTACTCGCAGCCCAGCAGCACTTCCTCGCAGCGAGCCAATCTCCTACCTCCATGTCCCCTCGCATGTTCACTCCATCGCCACCGGTGACAAAGTTCTCGAGTTTCCTCCCACGCCAGAGTCCGTCGAGAGACGCTTCACCCAATAAATCAGAAGGACATGAAAGTCCTGCCTTAGATCCTCCGTGACTCCAGACTAAAGTATAGAGATTCTGAACATTCGTTGAACTCCATAAAAACTCAAAGTTCCTCAATCCTTTATCGCCCTCTGTATCGTTGTCGAAGCGACCCACTTCAGAGAGACCACACCTTTCTTTGTCTCCTCCGCGAGATGATTGTTCTGTTTGTGGAGGCGGAAACCTGCGTGCAATATGGGAAATTACCTCCGATTGAACCCCAGCGACTCCCCACGACATCGAGGCTTGAACAGTCTTTGATGCTGCGCTTCACATCATCGGGAGCTAGGAGACTGTCTCGAAAACGCATCGGAAATTGCACACCAACACACAACTGTGCACCCCTAGTTGTTCCACACGATGAGATGCCGCAGAAGAAAAAATACAGTCAGCCCCAGATTTCAAGCGGTTTACCGGTACCGGAAAGCAGAGAATGTCACTCGATAAGGCGCGTTGTGCTCTTTACCACGTTTTGTATATATGGTGAGCTGGATGTGACCTTCTGCATAATCTCACAGTGCTCGGGGAGCCGATTCTTGGCAGCGAGAGCAAAAAAAACATGTTGAATAAACACTTTTCCTAGAGAATCGACTCTTACTTCATCGATGCCAGATCTGGCCAATGCTCGAGCATTGATATCTGACGAGCTTCAAGAAAAGCATCGAGAGCTCACGATATACATTCGAGAGCCTCCATTCATCACCAAGCCGACATCAATCGAGGAAGGTAATACCGGTCCTCCGATCTATCCGGAACGCCGACGGACATAAGTGGTGCGGGACTAGCGGGCTCGCGATCGGTATCGGGTGCTCCTCCGCGGACGGGAGATCCGGTTTCTCCCGACGCGCGTCTTCCATTATCGAGGAAATCCTAGTGCGCAACCCCTCAATCTGAATCGGAATCTTCGACGATGCGCGACGCGGCTCAGTGCCACTCCGATCAACACTCACCGCAACTGCAATCAAACCCAGATTCACGAGCGTCCGTACCCACGAACATATCGATTCACAAGCTCTTCTCGCCAGACGGATGAGCCTCGAGAATCGAAATAGGACTCGATTCACGGATGAATTAATGGACGGCTTTTTCAACCTAGGGACATATGTATAGGATTCGTGAACGATTTCCCTTGGAGCGTAACCTGGCGCATCGAGAGATCGACGCGTCGACCGCAAGTCTCGCTTTCCAGCACGCATCCGGAAAACACGCTGCATTATTTCATTGAATGAGGCCCATATTGTTCGGGGGAAGAATACCGATCTTGGTGTTCGACTTTCATTTCTCGGCGACGGATCAAGAAATTCGGTCTCAGTCTGCGCTAGCGATGACCCAGGCAAGGGCTACCGGAGGAAACGAGCGGGAAACTTTTCACTGCAACTATCACGCTATGACCTACGAGCCGTTTGCTTGATATAATCGCCCGGCTCAGTGGAGCTCAAATCTCCACGTGGAGAGACTTCCTTTCACTCTCTAACCTGTGGAATTCTCGGGAAGTCCGACGTTTCTATCCCTATGGGATTTCTCCCGAGCATACCGGGTTTTGTTTGATGGAGTACTCTACGCCGAATGAGAACGCTAACCTATCGTAGAAGAACTATTACAAAATCTTTCATTCGTTGGATGGAGGAAGCCTGCGTGGTCAATGCCTTAGTGCAGGGTTTCCCAACAGGGGTTCCGCGGAACCCTAGGGTTCCGCCACGAGATTTTCGGGGTTCCGTGGCGAAGTTTTTTGCGGAACCCTTGGGTTCCGTAAGCGAATTCCCAGAGCTCCAGCGGACAGATACTCGGTTCAATTATCAAGCATTAATGCGATAATTCATCAAACTTTCAAGCCGAATGCGCTGTTCTTGAAAAATGCCGCTCCAGAAGACAAACAAACCACCGTAGGACACGGCCCCCAAGCGCGGGATTTCGAATGCAGTTTTCGAACAGAGAGGACATTATCGAAGAGATTCTCGTTCGGAATTTGGTGACCCGTGGAATCGTGAAAATCTATCCACCACAAAGGAGCACTGCGCGTCGTGGTGCCTTTTGTCAGCACTTATCGGTGTGAGACGGGATTCTCGGTATACACGGCAACTAAGACCAAATACAGAAGTCGCTTGGATGCGGAGAACGATATGAGAGTCCAACTGTCTGACAGGTTGCCGGATTCCGGGGAAATTTCGAAAAAAGGCAACACCAACGTTCGCATTGATCCCTAATATAAATCCTCACGCGTTGTGAGATACATATGCGTAAATACATGAGCCAAGGGCTCCGCACAACTGAATAAGTTATGTCCTCATGGAAACGTGCCTCGGGTGTCATTTCTTCTATGCGAAACCGCGATGTAGTGTGAAAGAAACGATAAATGATGAATTGAGGGTTCCGCGGGAGGATTCGCGGAACCCTTGAGGGGTTCCGGGAGAAGCTTTTCGGAACCCTCCGGGGTTCCCTGGTCCGAGAAAGGTTGGGAAACCCTGCCTTAGTGAGTAGACGAAGCTTTATTAAAATGCGCGAAGCACAGGCGGATTCATGACAGTATACGAGGGATCGAGAGGAGAGCCCCGCAGACAGTGAGGTTGCTGCGCATGAAGTGCTCTCAGTACTGCTGGAGGTCGTTGATAACCTTCTGGAAAGCCGCGAGTTGATCTTTCTGGAAGTAGAACCCCTCGTTCGAAAACCACTCATTCGAGCATAAGCATGGCTTCAATCCTGGGAGTTCAACCAACTCACCATTATCTTCGCCTCGTGTTGCAATCGATCCAACTCCATGTTCTTCATCTCCATCTGGGCCCTCATCAGAGCTGCCTGCTTTTCAGATGCGTGTTTTTCGCGACGGAGCCGCTCATCACATTGTTCGACGTATTTCTCGTGACTCGCTCTCATTTGATCTTTTTCGAACTGGAGATCTTCTATCTGAGACTTGTACTGCGTCAAGGTGTCTAGCTGACTCTGAACCACCTCACGGAGCTCGGAATTAGCGCTGCGTACTTCTCCCATTCTGAGCATCGTCGATTGGACAGCCTGCTCCAGGGTGTTTACCGTATTCTCTAACTGTAATCCGAAGGAGACGTCTAGAGGAATCCGATTATCCCAACGAAAGCCTATGAAACATGATTCCACTCATGTATCTGAACATTCAGTATCTGAACTCGATCCGGATGGCGAAACGAGGAATTCGCTCGCTCGCAGCCTGATTTTCCGGGAGGGAGTCTCGAAATCAGATATTGTCGTAAGCTCATTCACCTTCTGATTATCGTTCTTCTCCGCGACGAGCTCGGTCGCCAAGGCTTCGGTCGACGAGGTGTTATTCTTGCTGAATTCATCCAGCTTCTTCTTGAGGATCTGGACAACTCTTTCGTAGGTGGAGAGCGCGGAACGTAGGCCGTGCACTACTTGACTCGGCGGCTGTGGGAAAGGGTAAGAAACAGTGAGTCATTTCCAGCTCGATCGCGGTCGTCAGAGGCTTGCCATATCAGAAATTCCAAAACGGATTATTGGGAATCGAACAGCACGAGGCCGCGAATTGAACCTCATCACTATCAATATTGGGTAAACTCTGAGTTTGTACTGCTTTCGATAGTGCAGGAGTCTTCATCGGAGACACAATCGCCGCAGGTTTCCGACCCCAGGTCTCCAGTCGCGGTGATCGAATATAGGAGCTGTGGTTCCCGACGGGAGTCTCCACTCTACTCGAAACGACGACACGAAGAGCTTCCTGCTCATGCGACATCTGAAAAGTCCGAAGAATCTATCATCACTCATCTCAGGGAACAGGGGAGATGGCAGAGTTTCAAATCCCTAAACCGACCAGGGATCGGGTACAGCCTCGAGATAAGATCCCTCGAAACTCACATTTCCAGATGATGTGAGAATTTTGTGACTTCCGGGAATGTATGAGAAGCTCACGATATCCATTGATGAGTCTGGACATTTTATCAAGTCTTCGACATCGATCGAGCAAGGGGCTAACGCTTCGAAAGAGCCACTCGAAATGCAGACAGAGAGTTGTAGCGCGGAACTACCGGGGTTGCTATGAGGATCAGATTCTTCTTCGGAGACGAGAGAGCGAGATTCCTCCGACACTTTTCTGACTCGGGTCGCGGCTTTTGGCTTGAGGGCACTCTCTGCGAAATTGAGACCGAAGGTGAACTTTTTGTCGGTTCGTCGTCTCGGCTCCTCATCGACGACGATGTCATAGGTGAGATCTTGAGCAAAACTGCTGTCTGGTGAAATCGAGTCAGCTGTTGTGTTCAAGGAGTCCATGTCGAAGACATCCCCGGGCGGAGGAGAGCCCATACTGCATTCGTCTCGGAGCTTCTTCGATGGACGTTGGGAAACCGGAAGTTGATTCTGGAATCTCCGATGCTCTTGCAGTTTGCGGTTGGCCTCGCGCCTGTAATCCGGTGACCTACCTTCCCGCTGTTGTATTCTACGGTTCGGACTCGAGCCATCGATCGATTTTGGCACATCGAGAGGAACGAAAAGACCGCCGTTCCCAGATTTTTCTGGGGCGGGAGCCCTATCCGCAGCCGGGTGGCCAAGGTCTGTGCGCTCGTCGATCATCTCCGGAGCGGCTCCGTGAGTCTCCGAAGCAGCTGAGAGGTACACCGAGGTCTCTACAGGCTGCGGTCCTTCTTCGCAATTCGATAGTCTGGCGCATGTAGAGTCTTTTATTCGGGCTGTGGTCGAGAAGTTTCCGAGATCGGCTAATCTTCGACCGCTCCCTTGACTGGTCTCCGAGCAGGTCTCGGACGACGTTCCAGGAAACTCGGGTGCTCGCCGAGGACCGACTGCGTTCTTATCACTCGAACTCTCAACGCAACTCTCAGCGACGCTTTCGACTGCGACCATGAGATCTGGTATTCTCTCATGATTAGATTCAAGGTCTACGCTCCGCAGCGGTGAACTGCTCCCTTCGCGCGCTTTCACTGATTTTTCTGCCCCGTGCGTTGTGGCAACCTCCGTCGCTCCATCGATCGAAAGATGATGTTCCCCCTCAGAACACGCCTGGAAACAGTCCTCTGGAACGCTCGCGGATACATTTGGCCTCTTCTCCATAAGATTTTCGCCGTCTGGGCTCAGACTCAACTTCGGAATACTTTCATCAATACCCGTTTCGGAGCAGAGAGGAATCTGAGCGTCTAGGCGACTCGAGGATTGAATCCACTCCGGAATCTCTATGGACCCGCTGATAGCTGACTCAGACTCTACACGTGTACTCTGACTTGCGACGTTCGTCTCGCCTTCTGGATTCGTGTCAAGCTCGTCCTCCCCGCGGATTTCAGTGTTTCTCTTGTTTCGGTGAGTAACTGCATCAGGTGGATTCTTCCCGCCTATCACGATATCTGACGGGGCATCAGACTCCGCAAGTGGCTGGTGATAGAGGCTCAGCTCGTTTCCAGCTCGTGTCACAGCATTCGTCGACACTGAATGTCCAGATTCGTCGATGGCAACAATTTCCCCACTGTGTAGGTCGTCTTTTGTAGAATCCGCGCAAGGTTCCGGATGTTCGGCTCTGTCCACACGGTCGCATGGCACACCCGTCTGGCTCCCAGCGACTTGGGGTAGACCGTGTACTTTACCTCCGGAGCCTTTGCGTCTCCTTGATCTTTTGTTCTTCTTCCGTTTCTCCCACATCTCGGGTAAGGATGGTGGAACTGGAGACATCGGTGCGCTAACGGAGCTCGTCGGCGAAACTCCTGGATCACTCGCAACTACCTCCGGCGGCTGAAACGAATCGAATCCAAGAGCAGCAGTCTTCGCAGCAGGAGCACCGATCGCGGTGTACGGAGACGTTGACGTCTTCTTCTGAGGCGCTGTATCGGATTCTGGTTCGACAGGTGATTCTTCGGTTGTGAGCACCTGGGATCCATCCACGATCGCTAGCTGCTTCCCACGCGCAATCCCTCCATCTGACTTGGGAAAACTTTCGGAGCGCTGCGCTGATCGGTCAGGAGAGCTCCGGGGCGTTGAATCTCTGACGGATACAGTCTCTTGGGATGTTTTCATGAGCTTCGCATCGAGAACTTCGAGACAGGGAGTGGCTTCCGAGTTCTCGGCGAAATCATCTGGGTCGTCTAGCGAATCCAACGAGAACTGCGAAGACGAAGGAGCCACCGGCTCATTCGCAGGGGGAATCTCCTGCCGAGTCCCCAAGCTGAAGAACTTGCTTAGCCTGGAAGACACATCTCAGTAGAGCGGGTAGAGTATCCGCCAAAATCTAAGCTGTCAAACCCTCTCTCGTGCTCAGCTCCGTCCCGTTCAGCGGTGGATTAAATGATCCCACATGGTGGAAATACTGTCACTCACCTCTTCAGTTTGGCAGTTCACGGTTTCCTTGATCCCGAAAGATACCTTGCATGAGACAAAAAGCAGAAAACGCGAAACCGCTACAGACCCGGTGAGAATCTAGGTTCTGACATTGACCTGACCACTCTGGAGAGAGGGCTTGCTCATAGCCCGGCACAGCATTGCGTAGTAAGGCAGAAAGCATTCTTGGCGAGCTAACAGTGTCGTCAGCTTCACGGCTCAAGAGAGTCTCGCCGTCTATGCGCGCTCACAGATGTTGCGGTCGCATTGATTAGAATAACGATAATAATTATCGTCAGTAGAGTCCGCCGTCTCTCGGAGCATGCTTCAAAGAGATCAAGTGAACCCTTGGTTTCTTACCGAGCCCCTGCGTTCCATCCCGATTGGAGAACTCTGGGGTTCGGGCTGGCGACGCTCCATGCGTCGTGACCGTCAATGCCTGGCCGAAATGTTGGATCCGACGAGGATAAGAAAGCCCGAAATTCTTGCGGCAGGCCGCTGAGAACCAGGAATTATCTCCATGCTCGAAAATGGTGCGGGATGTCCGCGTCTTCAGCGTGGTCAGAGCTTTGTTCAGGATGCTCCCCGCTTCGGCCTTGAATTGGAGTGAATTCGCGGGAGCGCCGGCCGGCTGATCCTTGGCGAAAGACCGCGCGATCGCCAAGCCGCATTCCCTCCGGGCGGCGGTTCTGCGGATCGAGGCTGGAGAAGAGGCGCGAGGGGGGCTTCCGTATATCTCCTTCGAAGGGATGGACCTCAACACCTACGCGATGATCATTTTTAGCGGAAGATGTAATTTCCTCATGCACGGCCGTTTGACAGCTCATGTTCTAACCTAATCATGTCATCTATCGGTACGTCAATCAGCGCGAATCTCGACCGACTAAGCGCGCCACATATTTTTATGGGCTCGTCGCGAATGACTCAGAATCTATGAACCGCGAAGCAGCGAGTGGGAAAAACCGAAAGGAGGCTCAAGCCTCTCGCAGACAAACCGCTTCCAATCGCTCGGACAATGGATGTCCTAGACTCTAGGACCTAGAGCCTCTCCGACTTCTGCGCGAAGAATCATCTAAGAGCGGAGTTTGCTCGAGAACCTTCGGCCCAAGTTTCTATATAAGACGTACCATTCCATGTTCATCCATTGAACTTGCAGACAGCTGACAATGAGTCAAATAGCGAAATTTAGGCGGAAAATGAAGACAGAGCGTACTGTCGGTGGAGAGTTTCGTCGCTCCGCGTATCCCCATCTAGTAGTAAGTCCCGGCTGAGTTGCGCAAACCTTCCGCCTCGTTCTTGGGCCCGCCTAGGACACAAGCCCAACGCATCCCCCAAGCGAATGACCGCGCCTCAGGAGGAGCGATCAGCATGCCTTATTTTCTCTTTGTCCTAGAAAAAGAACAGACAAGCCCCACAGTGCGCTACGCTAGCGCCATCAAAGTCGGCGTCCTGTAGGATCGTTTCGCGGGCTCAAGGCTCTCTTGCTCGCGCGCTCTTATGAGCATACATGCTTCTGATGATTATTTCACGATCGTATAATTCGATGGCGCCTCCGCAGGAGCCTGTCGGGCCCTGGAGAATCTCCGGGTCGCCGAATCAGCGCTGTGTCTGGTCCCTTATCCGCCCGGCCGGAAAATAAGCATTCTTCCATCGCGAGAGGCACATCTTTATTCAACGATTTGAGACGCTGAGTGATCCAGCTCATTATTCTCCTCTTCATTGAGTATTTTACACATAGCAATCTCTTTTTATATATTTCACTTTTTTTCAATCGACTCAGGAGCCTCATGAACGAGGCTCAGTTTGATATAATGGTCATCACGGGCTCGTTCCGTTTTCATTTCATTGTTATCGAAACCCTCGTCTAGAGTAGAATACAAGGGAAAATATATCTCACTCAACTCAATATGGCGGAACGGCGGGAACTGAATTCCCACAAAGCTAGGTTTACCTGTACAGAGGGTTAGACGAACATCGACAACAAACGAGTTGCTATCGTCGCTGCCACGAGCGAGCGCCATTGCACGGAACCGACTCAGGTCTAGTGTTTTTCTATGATATTGATTTCCGTCATCATCATCATCAATAAATAAATAATTCACTAGGTCATACTATACCATGTAAATGTGCTGTACAGCTACTGAACGTTCATTATGCACCGAATGGAGAGAGATCATTTCGATGGTAGACTCAGTAAAAGAATACTGTACAGTGTGTTGCGGAATGGGAGATGAAGAAGAGAAAAATATCATTGGTGCTTCTCCGTGGTCATCGAATCGATACAGAGGCTTCGATGGAAATGGACGATGACGATAATTTCCATCGATGACTAAGAGTACGTTGTACACATCGCGTTAGACGACAAAATACATAAGCTGTCATGATTTCATGATACATTTGGGAGACAAGAGCTGAGAGCGGAGGAAGGATTCCGAAGCGCTGCGAGCTTCGGGGAGGTGCTTCCGGATGATGCTTTGGCCAGGTACTCTCGATACAATCTCAAGCGGTCGGGTCGAGGGGCGGACTCTTTCACGATTCGATCGGTGTTTCGGATGAAATTCCGTCGACGGCTACTTTGCTAACCAAGACACTTTGCTTATCCAGAACCGATACACCACGCGGCTCTTGGGTTGCGACCCCATTTTCGAGATGGGCCTCTTGTGTGAGTCCATTTTCAAGATGCGGCTTTTTACTGGGCTGCCGAGGCGTTCTGCTCTTCGATTTTCTGTCTTTACTTCGCTTCGTGTGTCTCACCATCAACTCGTGAATTTCAAGCTCGATCTTGTCTAGGTCGTCCGTCTCTACTGTGCCGAGGTAGGCCTTGATCCAAGATGTGAACGACTCGATCCGCCGCTCGGTCGTCGATGCCATGCTGTCTTGTAAGCATTGCGCCGAGGATTTCGATGCCTGGAGCATTTGCAAGATGCCCTGGCCGCCGGAAGGAATGAGGATGGTGCCTCCGTTCGACGCGGCTCCACCTGTCGGAGAAGAAAGAGAACTCCTGAACCGCAGAAGTCAACGCAAACTCTTCAATGATCTGCCAGAGGATTATCGAGACTCGGAGGTTCATGGCGGAGGATCATCGATCTTTTCCTCCCGTGGAGCCATGAGCCCGCTTCGGAGGGCTCTATTTGACAAAAAATGGACGGACCGAGGACTCACCCAAAGCGAAATTTTGTGCGCTGTTCGGCGCAACTGTGATGATTTTTATCGGCGCTGATTGGTTCCCTGAAGCATCCGTCTGGCCGTTCTGAAGTGAACTCTGTAGACCTTGAATGGTGAACGCCGTTGCCTGCGTCGGATGTGCCGCTTTTTGGGGCAGTGGCGACACTGCCGGTGCCACTGACGTGGATATCACTTTGACCGTGGGACAGCCGTCCGCGTTGGTCGTTGTCGAGACGGTTACCGATTTCACCTCCTCACCTTCTTCCATCTCGATTTGCGGCATCAAAGAGTTGCAGTCCGCCGAACACCTGTAATACGATCGGTGCTCGATTTATTCCCAAGTGGAATCCCTTTGGGATCGGGACGGCACGGACGGGAGTGACGTAATCCATGTAAAATATTCCGAACCGAGATTCACTCACTCATCACTGTCTATAGGTTCAGATTTGACGCCGTTGCTGCAGTTGGTGATATAGGAGAGGGCTTCTTGGTGCATCCAGGAGTTGTCTCCTTCGTGATATTTCTTGACTAGTACGTTGATCTTGTTCTGGATCTCAGACCAGGTATATCGCTCTTGGAAGTTCGTGTGTATCTGGATGATTGCCATGTCTCTCGACGCGTCGTTTTTGAAGCTGGGGTCTTTGCGGTTCCACAACAGAGGGTAGTCTCTCATGTAGTGGATGAGCTCTCGTTCGTCGTTGAGTGGCCACGATCGCTGCGGCCCGAGGTCTTCTTCGTCGTCTTCGTCGCAGTCGAGGGGCTGAGAAAGGATAGATTAGATTGATTCATGAGCAAGTCATGTCGTTTAATCGTGTGCATGCGGTGGTTGCTGTCTGAGATCCACGAAGCGCCCTATAGCGGACATCTTCGCTATCGAAATATTCGTATGATTGGGCGGAGGGAATTCCACTCACATTGATGGAAACGGTGAGGTTCGAGAGAGCCAGGGCGTTTTTCACAGGCTGGGTTTGTCCGCTGCCATTTGCGGGCTGTAGGCGCGGCCTCTGAGTATGGATGACATTTTCAAGAAACTTCAGCTGCTGAAAATACTTCCACTGGCATGGGTCCTCCCCGCTCCCGGTGTATCCTCCAGCAGCTTCAATTATGGCAATCTTGCGAACTTTCTTGGTAAATGTGTCCCTCAGACTCTTCCAGCGTTGCCTCGCATGTCCGATTTCCATGGCGACTTGACGGGCTATCTCTTCCCAACATTTATCTTTCCTAGCTGAATCCCTGTAAGGACTTTCCGGGTTTAATATGGACCCCTATCTATGGTTTGACTTCGTCATATCTCCCCGCGATCCCGGAAGCGACACTGAGTCATTCCCGACGTAGTTCTCCAATGGAGAAAATCGCAAGACCTCTCAGTTGAGCTCCCTAGTCACATGACTGTTCACGAGATCCGGTGCTCTAGAACCCTGGGAGACGCTCCGTCGGAGACTTGCCGAATAACCGTTATCCAGGGAGATCCCGACCCTGCCCTCCCCATCGCTCTCGGTCATCTCGGCTCTGACGGGCATCCGTCGATGAGGACGCTGCTGTCATGACAACGCGGCGTCACCTCAGCCCCGGTCTCGGTAGGCGCTAGCTGTCAGTCAATCACGAGTGAAGCGATTGAGTGAGTGCGTCATGCCCCATCTCTGGGAAGGGGGTCTTGACTTGTCTCACAGTATCTGCCCACCTCCCGCAAGCTGCTGGGCTCCGACGAGCAGTGTGGGCAGCGCCGGAAGCTCAAAATGCTGAGATCCGAATCTCGTCCGTTCACGGACGCAGCCGCGTCTTATGTTCCCAGACCGATCGCGAAAATCGCTCTACTCCCATGCCGAGAACGTGGAGTTCTCCGAAAATACCGTGATGATGTTTCAATGCTCCGAGGAAAGACCTTCAATTGCGTCGCCGGACTCGGAAGCGATTGTGCTCCGCGGCGGATCGTCCCAGTCGTCGACGTCACGACATTACCCAACGCGATTGGCCTTCAGATCTCAATTGTGAATAATTCCAATCCTACTATACGGCGTGCCGACAATCTGTCGTACGAAGAAATAACAGAGCTGCTGACCGTTCCTGTACAAACTCAGTCGAACGTCGCTGGCGTCGCGGCGGTCGTTCTCTCACGACGGAAGCGGGGCCGAGGGGCAGTGTTTGGCTACGAGGCTGGCAAGAGAAGAGGCGGCCTGCTGGACAGGCTGGGGTGAGGGGGCCGAGTGGGGAAAGGTTGGCAAGCTGGCGCGAAACGACAGCAGCACTCGGGCTGCGAGGCTGGGCGGTCGGCCGGTCGCACGCTAGTCCCCTCAGCGGATAACCCTAGTGGCCGAGCGGCGGTCCGCGCAGGCGCGGGAGAATGACGCTCGGCAGCGGCGCTGCTCTGGAGCCCACGCCCGTTCTCGCTGAAGGGCACAGGGGATGGGAAGGGTGCGAGGGTAGTCATCAGGCGGGCAAAAGAGAATAGACGTCCCCCTCCGCGTCCGTCAACGACGACGAGGGCTGCAGCGGTCAGGTACGGCGGGCCTCGGCACCCCTGTCGGCGGAGGCGCCCTCGACGACGTCGTCGTCGAAGGTTCCAGGCTGCTCCCGAAGGCCTCCCGCCCGCGTTGGCCACTTCGCTTATTTACGATGTCGAGAAGGATCATGCCCATGGAGTGCGGGACACATGGACGTCAGAGTTCTCGATAGGCGACTCGGTCGTCTCGTCCATTACTGGTCGCTAATCTGCCCGACCGCATCGTTCGACGCGGCCCCACGAGACGGCGCTGTCTATGCGGTCTCGTAGTTGACGTTGACGACGCTCTGCTAACAACGACGACGACGAGCTCGCTCGATTCCCCGCTCGCTGGTTCTTTCGATTCAACAGCGATCTCTCTGAGAACCGGGCCGAACGACCGACCGACCGAGCTGCTACCGCCAGCGGCAGGCTGGCGTCGCGTAAACATTCCGCGTCGGGTAAGGCTGGTGGCGAATAGCGACGGCGACCCTACGAGCGGCAGCATCACGAGTAAAGAGTGTAAGATTCGCGAACGCTACAGCCGATACGGCCGAAAGAATCGCTGACGTCTCTCCGACGAGGACCCGCGTTCGCGAGCGGAAAAAGTTCAAGATGAAGAACCCACAGATTCGTACAATATCTCGAAGAAAACTGAAGGATCACTCAGGTCGCCGGAGCTCACTTGCGCCGATGCTTGCCCTCAGACTCAACGAATTCAGTTTCTTCGGTTTGATCATTCCATCAGCATTTGAATCAATGTGGAGCATTTCAGAACGCTCTGATGCCATCGGCTCTAGGGATCGATGGGCAGGGAGGGGGCATGAGCGGCACGGCGCTCGTAGTATGCGTATGAGATCATAGAGGAAACAGCCGGAGAAAACCGTCCACTTCCGTAAAAATAAAAATAAAATCGTATGGACGACGACACGTGACGCTCTGAGTTCAAGACTGTCCCCACCAACAACAAAAACAGAGAGAGCGAGAGAGTTGATACCGCTTTCGGGGGGAACAACAAAGTACACGGATTAGAGCACATTCCCTTCCTGAACGACATGACTGCGACGGCGGAGTCGAATAATTATCTCACTGACCTGTACTGTAAGTGACGAGGATCCCAAAGGCACGGTTCCTTCCGAACGAGTTTGATGAGTTTCATATTAGAGCCGGGAGTGTGATAAACTGGACTCGTTCCTGCCGCAGCTCCATTCGCGGCGGTTGCTTTAGTTGCCGGTTTCTCTTTTTTGCTGCTGTTGTTACTATTGTTATTACTACTACTGCTGCTGCTGTTGCTGTTCCCGTTGGGGTGGCTGGTTCCGTTGGCGACGGGAGTCGCAGGCGACGGCGTAGCTTCGGCTTCGCTGCATGTCGCTTCAGGAGACTGCGACTCGTCGGTGGCCATGGGCGCTCTCGTTGTCGTGGTCGTCGTGGCTGTCGTCGACGCCGTTGTCGTGGTTTTCGTTTTACCTTTGGTCGTTGTTGCTGATCTAGGGGGTCTCGCCGTTGACGCTGTCGTCGTCGTCGTCGTTGCTGTTGTTGTCGCTGCTGCTGCTGCTGCTGCCGTTCGAGGTGTAGATACTACAGCTGTCGGAGACTGGTCACCGTCTTCTTCGTCGTTGTTGTCTTCTGTCAGGACGACTTCGGATTGATCCTCGTTGTCAAGCGTTGTGAGAAGACTGCGCAGCATCTGCAAGCGGGCGGACGAGTGGACGAACGACGACGAGTGGCGGCAACGATGGTGGTAGCTGCTGAGTTTGGTGGTGCTGGTCAGTCGGTGTCTCTTCTCCCGCACTGGCGGCGGCGGCGGCGGCGGTAGTAGTAGCGGTGGCGGCGACTGGTGGTAGTCGAGGCAGTGGCGGCGGCGGCGACGGCGGTGGCAATGGTAGAGGTGGCCTTTAGAGCGAGGCGAACCAGAGCTACCGAACTTCCAGCCGACGACGGCCGTCCGACCGTTCTGACGACGACGCACGAGTTACGTACCGATGAACGGCGCTCAGCGGACGGGAAGGCGGCCAGCGGACGGGAAGGCAACAGCGAACGAGCGAACGTACTAAACGAGCGAACCTAGAGCGAACGAGCCAGCGAGCGAGCGCCAAGCGGAGCGCGAGTCCCGCGCGGCGGCGGGCGAGGTTTCGCCCCTGCCGAGCGCCCCGCGACTCTCACCCGACGACAACAACAACCCGCGTCTGTAGTCCACAGCGGCAAGAGCAGCCGCTGCTGCCGCAAACGCCCCGGGCTCCCCAGCGACAGGGAAAGAGACCCGCCGCGTCCATCGCCTACAGCAGTCGCAGACGTCAACGAGGGGTAACAGCAGCGAATCGAGGACGGAACTATCGACTGCAGAAAACGCTGATCACAGTCGCTGACGGGCTGCTTGTCGATCCGACGGGCCCGAGCTCAGTCGAGAGAATGCGTCTTGACGTCAGATACGTCTCTGGCTGTACTCAGATCTCGCGAGCAATCAGGCAGACGCCGACGGGTGGACCTGGGAAACCCACTGGGATGCGACTTGAGGGCTGGCTGGCTGACAGACTGATTATCAGCGATCCGACTTGGAGCGCCAGGGTCTCTCCGATCCAGTCAGACAGGCAGGCAGGCAAAGGCGGCCAACCGACCGACGCGTGCGTTTCCTCTCCCTTGCCTCCTCGACTCGCTGTGCGCGCGCAGCGCTCAGTCGAGCCTCGGAGTCTTCGAGGAGACGCGAATTTCGACACGTCGGTCGACCGGATCGGGGCCGTCCATCTCAAACTATCGCAAACGCTTCGAGACGTCGAATTAGGGGTTTGCGCGCTCTGGATTTTGACGGGCGTCTGATTCATTTCTTCACGCCCGGGCATTTCTTGAAGAGCCGTGTTTTATGGAAGAGGGATGTCGCATCGCCGGAATCTTTATATCGAGATTATAATTCAACGACTTGTTGTTTAGGGGAACATCAACGTGGTCGGCGAACACGTGCTGAGCATCATATGGAAATGCCGACAGGCGAGGAAAACGAGAGAGGGATATGGCTCGAGGAAGGGAACGATCATCTATATTTAATCATTGAAATCGAAAGATTTTCGGATTTCAGGGACGCAGCAGCTTTTCGGAGCTCATTCGGTAATCACAGCTGGGAACAGCCGACTCTACCTCAGAATGATTCACGGACAGGCGCACGTGGGATACCGTCGATGAGCCCCGGCTTCCGGCTTGACAGACTTCCACGAGCGCGGCCTCTACGGGTACATCATATGGTGCTGGAACCCCCATACCGCCTCGTCCAGAGCGGAAAAAACTACGACGCGACGGGAAAACTGACCCGGGTTCGGAGACGACGAAGCCGAGAGCGGACACTGAGACTGACCACGGAGATTCGATTTCTCTCCACTCAATTTCCGTGCTTTTCCGGAGGGAATCCGTGCCGTACGTTTGTCTCGCTCGCTGTATTCCGTCCCAGGTGGGGAAGGTAGCCTTCTGGAACACGAAGATTGCATTCGACTCGAAAATCGACGCCCGGTCTCCCTATAATTAACATTATCGTTTTTGAGAACATCGATGAGGACACGTGAATCGAACGATCAGGCCTTCGCATGAGGTCGCGATGAATGGCACGGCTGTGCGGTGTTACGCCTTTGTAGACAATCACACGACCGTGATGGATGACCGCGATCGGACCGTCAAGACCTCTGTCAGCCGAGTAGTTGCCTTCAGCCGGTCGGACGAATGAATTGTCTCGTCGGAAGGTTGCTCGCACGCTCGATCGATGGAAGCGAGAGAGACCGTTGTATACCAGCTGCTCGGTAGGCCGGGGTCCAAGCGCCTGCCCGCTCCCTCGGTCGTTCGCTGGACTCGGACGCTCGTTCGCCCGTCCGCTCCTCTTGCCTCCGTCGTCGCGGGAGCTGCCGCTTGGCCAGCTCGGAGCTGCAGGAAGGAGCCGTCGGCAGGCGAGAGAAAGGCACGCCGTCGTTCACACAGGTCGCCCTCAACCCACCGTGCTCCGGCGGCCCTGGAACCCCGCGTCGCAGCTGCTGTCTCAAAATCAAAGGTTGACGGGACCACCGGATCGATAGTTGCCGAAAACTTTGACCATCTGCTGTTTTCGTCCTGACATGTCCGAGCCAACCGATTCGTTGCACACCATTCGCGAACGGGCGCACATGAGCGCGCCCAGACCTGTGGTCAGACTGCATACTAAATAGGGTGATGGTCGGATCCTTTCTCGCTACGAATGCGAAAGCCACGGAAAAGCTTCTCCGCACACTTCCCGAAGCGGCGCGGAGCTCGGCTCATGATCCAGAAAGTGGAGGACATCGCAGACTCGTCATGTAGTTACAGATTCGCCTATGCCCGAGTGAGGAATACGCATGACCCTAGTGAGGGGAACGACCTGCATTGGGGAATCTCTCGAAATATTGTTTTTTGATCATTCATTTGCTCCATTCTATGTACTAGTCGCGAATGAAATGGAAGATCGGTCTAGACTGGAGGGATTGATGCTCAGGTCATACATATCAATGTACATGAGATCATACCCGTGAAGGAGTCGAGGAATCGACGCGACCTGATGCTCGATCTGGAAACTCTGGGATGGAATCATGTACCCGAGCGCGAAATATCGGCGCGGCGTCTGCTCGAGGCATACACATTAAAACCCTCGTATATGGCATCGGCTTTTCACGGAGGAATTTCACCTGAGGAATCTACGCTTCCGCGATGAGGTGGAGACCAGAGATACCTTTCTCGATCTCCGGCAGGACGGAGACACTGCTGCGTTGGGAGCTTGAGGTCCTCATGCACGGGACATCGTTCATATTGACAAGGGAAATCTGCATCTGTAGCGGTGAACGCCCTAAATGTGCGGAGTATGTTGCTCGGATATCCGTGAGCTTATTACCGTCGGTGCTGACGATGGACGATCGCATCTTCTGATACGGATCCATCACCCTTGTTGAGCACTCTCGGGAATCTCCACCGTGAAGTAGGGTGAGCTCAAACCTATCACAAACTTATCATTGACGCGTCGGACTTCGTCGATCTATGTCTCGGGTTTGTGAATGTCGATTTTTCCGGGGGACGCAAGTCCAGCGTGTCAAATGTACGCAAAGACAGAAGCTGAAAAACCGTTCCGATTACGGGGAACGGGAAAAATGATCAGTACTTTTCATTTTTTCGCATGCGGAGAGGAATATACCGATCCGATAAGGGACATTTGTCTTCCGATCGAGCGCGTCGAAACTTCTCCCACTCTTTATTCCTCAAACTCTTAGGAAGACTCCGATTGAGAGAAATGAGAAGAACAAGAATTTCAATGTAAAAAAGACTTTCGCCGAACCTCTCGAGAGCTCGATTCTCTCACCAATGGCTTACCGGTTTTCGGATCCCCGAAAATAAAAAGGGAAGGATCCATCCATTTGTCCCGTAAATTATTGGCGAATGGATTAAGATTCGCCTGAGTTGGAAGAGGACCGCGGACAAGAGTTTCGATCGAGAAAACATTTTTCTTCGCAGTTATCTTCAGCGGTGATGGAGAAGGATCCTCACTTCGAGTATCCCGCTCGAGCGGCGGCGTCATCTCCATCAGTCCCTCCGCTCGAGGCATCGGCCGCGAAGACTTTTTCCCAACGCTGCCGAGAACTTCAGGATGCCGCTTCAGGATCGGGATTTTCGTCGAGGACTTCGCCTTCGTCATTGCTGGACGTTTCGAATTCACGCGGTGCTCCGCCTCTCGTGAGAACTTCAATCCGGGAGGAGCGCTCTGAACCTTCGCTCGATCGAGGCGAGGACCGATCGGAGACATCGGGCGTATCGGAGTGGCCCTCAGAGCCTTCGACATTCGCGCCGGGAGCAGGCCCGCCTGGCTCTTATGGGAGGCATCTCCATGCTTCGACGGGAGAGGTTCGCACGTGGAGGTTTTACCTGGCTTCACGACGAACTTAGCAACAGCCCGGTTCTTGTGCGGTACCTTCGCATTTCTAACCCGCTGCGATATGAAAACATTCTCCAAAGTCCTCTTCGGCGCAATGATTTCCTCTCCCGGAGCTTCACACCCGTCATTGGGCCCCTCATCCATGAGAACCTGCAAGAACTCCTCGAAGGTCAGAGGCCGACCCGTCCCGGGACCTGTGCCGACGTTTGCGCTCATATTCCTATATCTCTCGAAGGCCAGCGATTCAGCAAGTTTCACAGCTTCCCCTTTCGTCCCCGCGACATTCGGAATATCCAGGTCCGCGCTAACTCTCTTCGTTCGCTCGATCAGGGATCCTTCTAACCCGTTTACTGCACCCAGAGTCGCTTCTAGGGGTTCGATTGTGCCCCTTCTGTCTTTAGGAATATTCTCGAATGGCGTTGAGCTTTTGGTGAGAGCTTTCGCCGGTGATTTCCCTGCGTTGAAAATGGCAGAGCTCGACTTTGGTTCAAGGGCCGAGGATTTCGTGGTGACACATTTGGCTCTTTTGGCTGATTTGGCTGTAGACGAAAAATTCAATTGCCAGGGCCTCCCTGGGGCTTTGACGTTAGCCACACGCATGCTCTCGAGCATTTGGGACTTCTTCGCGCCAGATGAGCTCGCGAAAGATTTCGCTTGCCTGAACTTTATTGCGGGCAGGAGCTTCTTCGCCACAGGAGGACCGAGCGCCTTGGATTCGATACCTGCTTTGATCTTCGAGTGGAAACGGCCTTGCTTGATGAGCCTCAATACGTCCTTGCTCACTTCTCCTCGTCGTCGACGTTTCTTCCGGGATCTGTCCGTGCTCTTCGATGTCGTAGATTCATGTGATTTCAAAATATCCTCTTCGCTCTTCCTGACGACCTTCGGCTCCAGAAGAGTTGAGAGGTTTGCGCCCGAAGGACCGGGACTAAGCCGAGAAGGCCTCTGGACCTCCGGTCCATCGCGAGAAGCAGCGGAGCGACGGACACTCTTCCGGCACCGGGATGGCTCCCGGCGAACCGATGAGGCCGCCGCTCCGTGAGACTCCTTCGCGACGGATTTCTGGATTCTGGAGAGGGATCTATCGCCGTCGACATTCGACTTTCCGTTTTCGCGAGTCGATAGCTCATCCTGCACCACCAATTCTTCTTCACCAGGATCCCGTTCCCTGCATCCAGAACTCGGGGGATCTGCCTGTTTCGAGTGAGTTCGCCTCTTATTCGATGCTCCTGCTGTTTTCGGACGTGACTTTCCCGGCGGACGTCTCGGCGAATCATTTGATTTTCCGCCCCCTGACGCCTCGTCTTCTGCTCTGCGTCGTTCAGAGCCCGCCCCATGTAAGGTCCGGCTCCTGGAGACGGGAGTCAAATGTCCGAGCAACCACCCCAAACTGGATCTCACGAAACTCATGCGGCTGAAATCAGTCTTACTTAGTGCGAACAATGGCACTTCGTTTCTCTCCGAGACAGAATACTGATTCGGTCTTCTCTCGGCTACATCTCCTTCAGATATTCAACAGCGGCGACGCAGTGAGAGATTCTGCCAAATGCCGGGACTCCCTGTCATGGTTGAGAGAGCCTCGGGATGAAATGCGACACTCATTTGACGACGCTCTAGTACTGGCATTTTCAGACGCCAAGAGAGCGAACTTTTCTTACCGGATCCGGATCGCTATCTTGAAGAAGCTGTCCTATATTCAAGTGTTTCAGTGCGAGAGGTTCTTGATAGATCCATTCGGCCTTCGCTGCTGCTGCGCTCTCTCGCTTCTTTGCGTTGTGCCACGGTCATGGTCCTGCCGTCGCGATCACAAGAGAAGCGACTCGTTGGCAGCGATGTACTCGAGCAAGTCAAGGGTACGCTTCACTCCTTGCGAGCAAGAATCTCATGCTCAATGCCAACATTGATGCCGATCGCTCGGTGCCTGCCTCTACGGCTTCTTAAAATCGAGCTTCTGGTGAGAAGTGGGTCCCGTCGATGGGGCGCCTATACACAGATCGGACGCTGCCACGCGTTTGTGTCTTAAGGAGGTGTCGCAAGTTGAAGGAAGGTGCTTCCGAGCGAGCTCAGACCCTAAGAATGCAGAGACAGGCGGGAAAGGAGGGTCGGTTCAGACGGATGGAGTCCAGGCAGCCAATCTTGAGCGAGTCCACCCTGCGCATTCCGAATCATTGGTCTGTCCTCGCCGTGAAGGGCAGCAAGTTGATCCATAGAGCGGCAGCCTCACTCATTAGAAGAGAACAGCGTTCAGAAGAGAGCTAATTCTTATTTAAAGGAAGAATGAAATACGGAGGTAATTCCTGACGCGAGCCCATTCGGCGACCCGAGTCTCGCAGAAGTCGCAAAAACTGAATGAGCAGTGGTATCATTCTGATTTTGTCTATAGCGCTCTGACATACCGTGAATATTCTAATATACCTACGGGCAGTCTCGAATGAACGGGCAGGTTCCTGAGAATTGATGAAGTGGACGGCGATAAGGTAGGCGCAGATTAGACGATCGTTGGTTACCTAGATAAGCAAGAAGATCAGATACTCGTATACACGAGCTTCGTGGAGAAAGTTACTCCGGCGTCGCTGATGAGTGGCATCCGAGCACGGAACACGGTCCGTGATTACGGAATGCATCCGAAGTCCCAATATTTCAGGTGAACCAATCTTTTCCGTAACTTACTTATTCACTTCATGGCACCATCTCACTTTCTTATGGAACATATTACAAAGATAGAAATTTATTCTTCTTCCGCTCGGACGCAGCATTCGTATCACCATGCACACATTCAACTTGCTTCATAAATAAAGACAGCTCTCAGTTCCCTTTCCGGGCAGCGGTCGTGCGCTGCCATGCGAGTATCAGTCGTAGAGCAAAATACAACGAGAATGCATGAACCTGGAAGTGGAGCGAGCGTTTGAGTCAGATGGCCTGAATTTTCCAACACTACTCTACGGATTGGATCGAAGAGTAGGAGAAGGAAGCGATTCCATGATGTTCCACATCGGGAAGTGACGAGAACGAATGAAAACCTCACCTGTGTGGCAAGAACGATGAATATATACCACAAGACAGCGACGGGATATCCTTGCCACAAAACGACATTCTTCTTCGTTTGTACGTATTCGTACATTTCGCCGAAATAAATGAACGCCGCCGCCAGGATAGGTACGACGCCGAAAGTGAACGTTCCCGAGAAGTAGATCTGGAGTGAAGACAGGATCATCAGTTGATGACAATCTGGATTATTTATTCCCCCGAAGGGATAGGAGCGCATCTGCTCATGTATACGGGATACGATTAGCGGATAGGCCGTCCGAGAGAAAGACCGATGGGCGAGCTCTCGTTATCTTCCGTGCTTCGGAAGCTGACAGGTTATTTCAAACTCGAGTGGTTCCGCTTTCTCATCCGTGGGTCGGCCGATGAATCAACTCAAAAATGTAAGATTGATGAGTCTAAACGCTTTGTCTCGATAGCATTCTGGCTGCTGCATGAATGAGCGCGACTTGAGGCGGTACTCTCTCAATGGTCGTACACCACGCGCGGCTTCCAGGCGAGACATTCGCTTACTTTGGACCGGATCGTGCACACAGTGAAGAAGGCATTGTCCTAAAGGCCAAGGTAGGCCCTTTGCCTCGCAGCGTGACATGGGGACGAAGAATCGCGCGCCCAAACGTCCTATCTAATGAGTGATTACAGCGGAGTGTGAAAAGTGTTCCGCTGGAATTTCCCTTTTAGTTACCCGGAGCGCGATTTGAAGACAAAAGCTGCGATTCGAATTCTAGCTTACCTTCATGGAAAAAGCATTATTTTTCCGGATCGCTGATAGTCCCAAAATTGCGATCGGAACCGACAATAGCCACCACCATTCCCACGGGAGAGGCTTTGGAACGTAGAGCTCTTGCAGGGACAATATGAAAATGTCTAATCGATCCAGAATATCTTCTGAGACCTACGGAGAAAGAGTGCGATGAGGTTTCTCTCTCGGAGGAATGTCATCAGCTCAAACACTAAATTAAGTATTAGAGCTTCTCCTCACAGAGTCTATACTCTTAGAAATCATATCGATAACGCAAATCGAAGAGCTCTGATGCAGTGACAGATATGAACAATCTTCCCCGAATTTGCATGGAGACGGATTTCTCACCTTAGCTAGGAGGATTATTGCGAGTATCCCGTGGCAGAATATTGACATCTTTAGCCGGGATTTGTAAGCTGCGCTGAAATTTCAAGGGACATATGTCTGTCAATCTCAGTCATCACGGACGCACCACACGGGAATTCAGCGAACATGAGCTAGGCTTCCCCTCCGAGGACGTTGCTTCTGCCCCGGTTGAAATGCGCCACGCTCGAGCTCACTGATGATAGTGGGCGCGAGAACCGGCATGGAAGGCTCATCACGTTCCAACTGACTCACAAACACTGACTGTATACGCGGAACAAAACCACAAATATTGCAAGCACTCCACGTTTCCGGAACGAACCTCCAGAATCTACTCAAAGTCATCGAAACTCCGAAGAAAAGCGCCAATGTATGAACGAATCCCTCGGGAGTTCCCTCTCAGGATCCACTGCTCCGAAAGGATTTTACAGCGGATATCTGACGAGTGAGTGTTGGCTTGACAGGATGGCAGGCTGAATGCCGAGGCAGACATCCACAGTGGATGACCAGAAGCAACAGTCGTCGACACAACCGAGGGAGACAACAATAGTTGCAAGCGAAGCACAATTAGACATTAGAGAAAGAGCAAAGGAAGAAGAAACAGACAGCCAAACACGAGCGAAGAGGGCGCGAACCAGCCGAGCAACTACTCAACAAACCAAGATGCTATCCAACAACTCGTGTAGCGCCTATCACACGCGCTTACGAAGAAGAGAACCACACGGACGGCCGCGAATCTCGCGGCAGCGCGGGGAGATCCACAGCGACTCCCGTTGACTCCCAAGGGTCTGGATAGGTTCTTCCATTGCACATACCTCGCTTGGTAATGGGCTGCAACCCGTTGCCGGTGTTGAAAATCGCTGCCATCGGTTCCCTGGACGTATGCTCCGGCTCTAGAAGCCATCGAGCGTCTTCCTGCCGCAGTGCAAGCGGAACCTCACAGGAATATTCGCTTGATCGAGTGGAAGTCTCCAAGATATGATCGAGAGTTGATCCGCAACGTTCAGAAATTCTACTAGGACGCAGGAGCCCAAGTTCCAACTTGCGGACAACTAAGGAGGCCACGACGACGACGACATAAACATTCCACAGCGATCATCTGCTGGAGGTCAGGGCGCCGCCATCTTGCTGTCTGTAGCCGACTGTATTTCAGCAGCGCGCGCTCGCTCGGGTGGAGGAAGGTCTCTTTTGCTGCTCTGGCTGGTCTTTCTCAATCGCACCGATGCTCAAGCAGCCGTCTCCTGCTTGCGGTTAGTCTTGTCTGTCAGTCCGATCATGAGGCGGACCTGCTCGCCGACGGGCTGCAGGAGGCGGCTGCGACCACCGCCGGCGCCTCTGGGACCGAATTGCGGGTCTCGCGGTGGAGTGAAATTCTTCAAAGATTGAATGGAGACAATCTAAGGATGTTGAAGATGGAATGATTGCTCTCTGCTTACCTGCTGGATAGTGCTTCCCTTCGCTTATTCCGAGTTTTCGATTCATTAGTCAGCTGTTATACTTCTGCTGGGGTGACGGCCCGGATCCCAACAATTCTCTCTCCAGAAGCATGAGAAGAGCTGTAGAGCCCAGAACCGATTTCCCCCCCCCTTCGCCTCGACGGGGAAGTTCCCAACTCGTTATCGTCGGACAGGCCCGAGCAAATAATTGCGCCGTTCACCGTTCAACGTCGCACGCATGAGGGTTTTTATCTACCGCTTCGTCAGGCTCTAAGGAATCCATCGTCCGAGTACCTCATAATTCAGGAGCGGAGAAGTATTGATCCGAGGATGGGAGGTAGAGGGCCATTGGTCGGGGGATATCAATCGAGGAATTCCAGTTGGGGAACATCAGTCGAACATCATCGTTGCGAGCTCATTGAACGGATCGAATCGAAATAACTCAAGTTTTTGTCGTATATGATCGCATCGAGCTTGTATTGTGTTCTTGTGAGGGATTAGATCTGAAGCAGAACATTCATTGAATATCACTCGAATTCTCACCGGCAAGGAGTCTCGGGTTTCCATTTCCAATGGGGATTAATCGCCGGATGCCAGGTAATGTCGATGCTCTCAGAATTGAGCTCGTTTCATCCACCTTCTTCAGAAAGCAATACTTCGCGAATATCCGAAAGTACCGCATCCGCGGCTCAGCTTTCTATCCAGGATCGCTCGTCGACCCCGTTTCCACTGGGAAAAGCAGCGCTGAGGCTGCGTCTGAATCCGCGAGTATCTCACAGATTCATCGTACGTCGAATATCCCTCGATATCTAGTCGTCTGACCCTAGGTTGCTCCGGTCGATCTGGCCGTCGACTCTCACGAGCTCGCGCGGACTAAATAATGCCTGAAGGGTCAGTTCGATGACGAGCGCCCGATCGCACAACGGAATTTCCGGCAAAGATCATCGCCTACACAGTGTGCACTCTCCCGGTTGGAGGTTCGATTCATCATTTCCGAAGATATATCCAGCCAGCTCATTTTTTGTCTGCGATTCCAAGGAGCCGGGGGCATAGGTCATGAGTCCAGAGGACGATTCGCTGACTTGGGCGTCGACGTGGACCTTACGAGGCTCATTTCAGACACGAAGGTTTTAGCGCCATCACAACCCAACCTCTCGGAGATGAGAGGACCAAGCAGACGTCTCTCCCTTTTGGGGAAGCGGCCAGACGAACGAGTTGGGATTCTCGCGGCACAGGAATACAGACAGAACTCTCCCGTAGAATCCTTCCCGACAAGCTGTGGGGAGTGGGGAAAAAGCTCCGTTTGAACCGTATGCGGCATAGATAGCTGCTGCTGTCCCCGAGTGACATCCTGGCGCTCGTTCAGCGGTAAGCGCTTGCTTTCAGTTTGTCGACGTTTTCCCTCTCCACACCGCCATGTCGAAGGGTGGTTCCCCTGTTTCTGCTGCCGCTGCTGGTTCGCTGCTTGCCTCCCAGCCTGCTGCCTTGCTGCCTTACTTACGAACTGACTGGCGGTAGCGGCTGCTGACTGCAACTAGAGAGAACAGGACGAACAGCGGCCGCGGCAGCCGCAGCAGCAGCAGTAGTAGCAGTTGACGTCTCTCGTTAAATTTAGTGAGCTGTGAGCATCGACGGTAGGAGCAGCGACAGGAATCGTCGGAAGTAGTGAGCAACTCTAAAAGCTACAGGAGCTTTGAATTGCTACCTTCAAGTGTCGACCGACAACCGACCGCTATTATCGCGATCGGTGCCAACCGAACCAGGTACACCTGGAAACCCGACTTGTCAAGCGCAAGGGTTCTTCTTGCACCCCTGTCGATCTTCGGTGATTTGCTGTTGCAAAGAACGCTGGCTCATCGGAACTGTGCGACTCCGTCGGTCGACTAGTCCCGTGGAGAACTCCTTCCTCGGAGAGCTCAGTCGCTTTTCCTATTCGATCGTCGTTCGTGCGGTCATCCGCTTGTTCTGTTGCAGCATCTCCCCCGAGTGCGTCTCATTGTATATTGCTACGTCGCCCGGATTACTGTAACGTATGCGTGCCGCTACAGTGCGTGTGTCTTCTTCGGTTACAGGCTGACAGAAAACTATTCAGTGGGAATCATGGCTAGGGACACGGACATCCCTGAAAACGAGGACCAGGACATCCCAGGTAAGTGATCTCCGCGGATAAGAATCGATCTAGTTGTGCCGAGGAAGGCTCCCGAGTTCCGCGCCCAAAAACCTCTCTCAACCCCACTGGCTGCGGAGAAGCATGTGCTTTTTAATCAGCTGAGCCCCACGTAAACAAGCAGCGCTCCATCGAGCGGACATTGTTCGACTTGGTCCCGGATCGTTTCGAGAGTGGATAACTGCTCGGTCACCGCAGCAGTGGGGTTTGTTTCCGAAGATTCGATAAAGTGCCTCATTGCTGCGGATTGTTGTGTCGAAAATCTAGATTTGGAAGAGTTTTCTTCCACCACCGCCCATGCAGGCGAGGACTGAGCGGCAGGGTGGCGAGGGTGAAAGCTCGTCGATCTGGCATACAGACCGTACCGTTCCTGGTGAACTTCGACCAAGATGCTATACCATCCGTGCATTTGTCGCAGGATATCAAAATATTCCGATCGTCCAAAGTCTGAATCATATGCGATCACCGCGAAATCGCTGGAGCTCCACGTAATGGCGGTGCGGCGCGGTCAGTGAGAAGCGATGCGGGAAGGATGGATCTATTCTTAGCGCTATATTATTCCGATCTTCCTCTGGGAGGTGGTAAATCAAGCAAGCGAGTTTCGAAGTTTCGATGAGCAATGGACACATGAGTCGACAAAAATTGACCTATCTGAAAGAGCACCGGGCGACGACGACGACGACGAATCTTTGTGACCTCGTTTTGTAGGTGTGGTCAGTTGTTGGAAGCGAGCACCCACCTGACGGCAGGCTTGTTCTCGGCGGAGACCATCCGTAATTTTTTACGATAAGGTGCGCTCGGATGGATCGTACTCAATGATCGATTGGCTATTCGGGAGGAGGAATATTGTGTAAAAATGTGTATCGAAAGCGATCGGCTCTATCCGAATGAAAATGGAGCCCGCTCATCGGAGTTTTCCGAACTAGCGAACAGTCCTTCTCGCGGTCCGATCTGCTCAGTTACCTGAGGAGGGGCCGATGCGCGAACATTGGAATCTTCCCCGATTAAATTGAGAAATTTGGTGCGCAGACGCTCGTTCCGTCTCCCAGATGTGGGAGAGCCCTCGAGCGCACACCAGAGAGCAAGCAGACCAGCCAACAGGCGAGACGCTAGCTACGCAAATTTTCATTGACGCATTATCTACGATCGGAGCTCACAAAATTATGCTCCCGTCCCGGAGAAATCCGGGCTCGACCTGTGTCTGCGACAAAATACAAATGATCGTTGCTCTCGGCTGCGTACTCCAATCGATCGTGGAACATCTCATTAGTGATAAGGTTCCGCAATGATGGCTGTATTGTGAGACGACTCGTCAGATTGATCATTCAGTCTCGACTTATTTTGCCGAGGCGAACTTGCAGAACGAGCTCGGATCAAATCCAGTATTGATGCCCCGTCCTTCAGAAGAACTCGCGCGCATCCGAGCAGTCGATTAGCTATTCATGTGAAGCTTCGATCCATCCGACTGTGCGGAACTGATTGGAGTTCGGAGCTCGATGCCTTCGTCGAGTGAAGTTCCTTCTGCTTGCTCGTGATTTACTTGGAGAGCAATGTTCAATTGCCGATATGAAGAGGAGGACGCCAGCAGGTGATACGATCCCACGGTTGACATCATCCATATTCAATGCTTGATTTCGTTTTGATGAGTAGCTCACTTCAGCCGATGAGATCTCTTACGACATCGCTTTCTAGGAGGAGTCTTTTCACTCACAGAGACGGGCGAATTTTTGTTTTTCTTCCCTGTTTGACCTTCGCGGCGATGATCTCATCAGAACGTTCTCGCCTGTGCAACGCGGAACGCGCCGTGACAGCGATTCCGGTTCGCGGTCGTTCTTGCTGACGGGCCCAGCGTACAATCGAGAAATCTGGCGAAAAGTCGTACATTATTCGAGGTTTTCTGTTCGAGGCTCGCAGGCGTACCGTCGTGGTGATTCTCCCATTACGCAGGAGGTCGGATATCAATCCGTCACATACCGCAGTGAAATAAAATGACTCGGAAGGGTTCTAGAAGTTTTCGAAATCGTGGCTCTGATCTACGAAGTTCGCCAAGTAGTCGCGGAATATGATTCAGATATCGTCAAACTCGTCGAGAAGAAGATGCGACCGCGCTCGTACGATTCATGTTTCGGTTCAGTGAGTTCTCCAAACGATGAAAAAGTGTTGCCGACCGCCACGTCGCTTGACTCATTCCTTGACAGGAGCCTCGAGAGCCAGTCTTCTTCGGAATCATGCTCATTGACTGACACAATGATTCTTGGGAAGACTGCGAGGAATCAGCTTCGAGTGAGCGAAACATTGTCTGGCTGGGTATTCTCAGGAATCTCCTCTAACGTGTCGTCCGCGCGTCTCCGAACAACGATCCGCTCAGGAGGGACGAGACGGGCCTCGGTTGTCATCTCAAGCCTGCACTCAGTCGAATTCTTGCCAATTTAATGTATTCGATGAATACAGCAAAAGGAAAAATCGTAGAATAATGTTTGGCGCTTAGCTCTGCTGAGCAGTCACGGTCTCGTTCCCATTGAGCAGATAGATCTTCGACCATAATTCCATGGTTCCTTCAGCGGCGGAGCGTCTCAATTCGCAAAAGTTCCGATTTCGGTCGTATATCACATTGTAGGAGCCAAGTCTGAATGTGCTCCCGACGACGGCGAAAGGTCTGATGGGAACGCTGGATCCGTCCCTGCGGCGAATCGAATCCTCAGCACGAGGGCGCATCTTGTATTGGGTCATAATAATCAGTGCTCTCCAGCGCTTTCCAAGCTTCGAAGCTGTAAACGCAGTTTGGTTCTTGTCTGTGAGCTCCTCGTTTCCGAAGTGGAAAATCCGCTGTCTATGCTGTAAACTGGGCCGGAACTGTGAACCGCGCTCCCGTCGGCTCGATTCATGGCTGAGTTGCCTAGCTTGCTCGCGCCATATTAAACTAACAATTCGTTCGAAGGCGTGATTTGCGTCACGTCTCCCCTAGAGCGAGATGTTGGTTCCGGTGCGATTCTTCGGAAATCTGTCATACCACATCCAAAACCGCGTCTCATCAGGATACGAGCCGGTACAGAGCTCCTGACCAAAACGGGAAGCCGCCGGCGGTGTGAGAATATTCCAGCGCTGCACGGCGGTCATAGTCAGAATCCGAACACATTCGACGGTCGCCGCAAAGGCTCGCGAAGCTTTCGGATTTGACTCTATGAAGTGTTTTTCAAGGAGCACCTGACGGCAATTAAATATCTTCAATGATGTGAAAACGATACCGTCACGTCGCTGCTCCATACGAGCTCAGACGGAGCGACAGACGTACGCGGCAAGGCCACGACCGACAGGCACAAGCAGGTCGACGCAGAGTGTCGTGATTCCGCCCACGACCAATGTTTGACGTAGACACAAACAGAGCCGAATGCGCGGCCCAATGTGGGTCAAACTTCGCAATTATCTATGACTCTGAGAGGTACTCCTTGACATTGGCCCGTCTTCGCACCGTCTGTTGTTTTCGATCGCAGATCGTCTCTACTTTTGTTCCGGAGCAAAGCTCTCGCATCGCACGGATGAAAGACTCTCTCCCGGGCGGCATCCTGAGGTCAATCGACTTATCAATTTCTACGGGAGAACTGCAGCGCTACGGTGCGATCGAGTACGCAATCTTTCGCTCGGTCGTATGCTCCGACCGTCACATCGCGTTCGGTGGAAGTTCGACGATCCAATGAGACGAGTTCAGCACTAGGTAGCCAGGGGGACTTCGTCGCACCCCGATCCCCGGAAATGGGATCCGGGAAGCTCCTCACCTACTAACCCACTCAACAGTCGGCTCCCTATTTATCAAGCTGAAGACGGAGCCTCTCTGGAGAGAATCTCCCCGGATTTACGGAAAACGAGACTGGGTCGCTAAATGGTCGGCATGTCCAATGGCATCTCCTAACGGAGTTACGAGCATACCCTTAGTATCAAGGCTGTGGAGAGTAATTTTCAAAATTACATGCTTCCGGGGACTCCGCCCGCGATGTACCCGGCAGCTTACGGCGCGGCGAGCGTCCTCTCGAACGGTCAGCATTCTGTCCGGACCACTTACGACCCCAGGCTCGGAAGGACGGGAATGGCTGTTGCGGTCGAGACTCAGGGTTGAGAAGCTCCGAGACTACCATCCCGGCGCGAGGGTATTTTCGACAACGTCTGTCGCTGCTTTTGTTCATCCCTCCTTGTAGATGAAAATAGATATCTGGACTCCGTGCAATAATTGTGTCGTGCCTCAAAGCGCACGCGTCGTCAGCATCCTCAGTTGAGAGGAAGAGACAATCCCTTAACATTCGTTCAGCTACAGAGCGGCCCGACGTCGAACAACGACTGCACCGAATCTTATTTTGGAGTCGAGGCGGAATATGCACTCCCGACTTAATGCGTCATCGCTCCTGGATGGGTGGTCTGGAGTCAAGTCTTACTACCAGTCGTTTCGCATTTGCCGAGAACTTCCCGGAACGGGGTGATGCGAGGTCCGAATATCATCGTCGCCCCATATCCATCAGTCGCCTAGCCCAGTTTCTCAGTACACAGTCCTCCCGTCATCGAGCCCTCCGAGGCATCGGAATGGTCTTAGGATCCGCTGCAAGGTGTCTTTCGTAGGACGGAATCGATTTTTAATTAGAAAAAATCCGACTTCCGAGTTAGAGGGGGTCGATCTCGATGTTAAGCCCCGTGGACCCTCCGATAACTCCGGAAAATGGCGGGAATTCTGGCTCATGATATTCCGTACTAATGATGAGTTTAATATTGTTTAATAATAATTATGGGACGGGGGAAACGAGGAGATCTTTGAGTGGCGCTCGGGATCGAGCGTCGATGAGCCCCGCCGTGAGCCGTTAGCCGAATGAAGCCATGGTACTCAACTGTACCATGCTCCCTTCCGCATAGGACATGAGAGAACTCGTGATTCTCGAAGGTGGATGCCTTATGAAGAAATCTTTACTCTGGGAGACGACCGAGAGGGTTGAATCCGAAGATTACAGTCGTTCGAAGCGGCGAGCCTGATATTAGCAGCCATCTGCGGGGTCTGATTTGGTTCCGAGACGGAAGGACTTCACAACTCTGCTCGACGAGGGTGGGGCTGCCATACGATACGTGCCGCCAACTCCAAATGACATGGAATAGGCGATAATACGTGCGTTGCCTCCATGAGGTCTCCCTGCGTGTAGTCTGACGAGGCAAAGTCAATCAGGTCACGTGCCGAAAGTTCCCCGTACCGCATTAGCGAGTGTCGCGATCCAATAATGATCGGCAGTATCAATCCTTTCGACAGATCCTCTGCGGAAAAAGTATCTGGTCTATCAATTTACAGCGGTCACGAATCAGAGGAGATGGCGTCGCACGCCGTTCTGAACTACTGATTATTATTGGCTCGAACTCTCGGGCAAACATTGTCCCTCAAGGGCCTCGTGCTTCGATCTGGAAGCTCGCTCGCTCAAGACATTTCGGTCCGTTCTGAGAAAGCAACATGAACTGGCAAAGTCGGCATTTTTTTTTGCTCGTCCAAGCGCCGGCAGTAAAGATCTCGTTCGACCGCTCGCGAGTCGGAGGATTTTTTTCGGAAAGGCCTCAAGTTGTATTTACACTGTAACTCATTGTCGGGGCTGTTGCTTCTTACACCGGGGAGTCATGTAATCACCTCTAATTCTGTGAAGGGAAGCAGAGTGAGAGGCGCCATTCGAAAAGATTCGTGTTCGAATACGTTTATTCGGAGCTCGATCGACTGCGATACGCGGCATAGACTCTTGTTGGCACATTTGAAAAATGAATGCCAGCTTTGCTAAGGGGGCGGATCGATTGAGGAGCGATTCGTCTGCAAGTTCCTGTGCTGAATCAATCAATCGCATCAAGAGTTTCCGCTGCACGAGCGGTATTGCGGGAATCCACTTTGGTAATCTGTGATATAGCTCACGTCCGAAGCTGAGTCGAGAAGGGGCTAATCGGTATTGTGACCGAGAATCTCAATCGAGCCCGAAATTCGATGCAACAGTCAAATACGGGCAAAGTGACGATGCATTAGAAGGAGAGGCTCTGGACTCGGGCTCACCTTCCACGCTTGCGAACGAGTGCAGGAGGTTCGAGGAATTCTTGGCTCGGTCTGCTCGTAAGTGCCGTCGAGGACAGACCCCGGATATCCATTAGCTCCCCGCGAAAAGCTGAACCCCTCGCCTGAGAGAATGTCAGCCCAATGATACAGAAAATATTCGGCAAATTCGCATGATAAGCTCATCATCGAGACTCCATGTATATGTTCAAGCGGATTCTTAACTCCCGTGGTTACATTTTTCAGAACTCGGAGCTGTATTCACATTCGGCAAATCGAAGTTCAGCGATAATTTGCCGGGAACATTCTGGGTGAAAAACGATGCAGTCATTAGCGTCGCCTGTGGAGACCAGCATTCTGTCTTCATAACAGCCTCGGGACGGACATTCTCTTTTGGTTCAAATGATTATGGACAGTTAGGACATGGCCACACGAAAGCGTTGGTTAATCCGAGATGCGTGAAAGGTGAGAAAACCCTGGAGAATCCAACGTCATGGACTCCGTCCACTTTCGAGGATGAACTTCTTCTCGCCCTAGCCTCATTTAAGTGAATGTATCGTCTTTCTCCCGCGAAAAGCTTTAAAAGACAAACGAGCCATTCTGGTGGCTTGTGGTCGCTCCCACACATTGGTCGCCACGGACGACAAAAAAGTCTATGCTTTCGGTATCAATTCCGAGCACCAACTCGGGGTCAAATCAAGTGCAGCATATCACGCGGATCCTCAACTCGTCGCCACACTCAACGGAGTTCAGGTATGCTCGAGAAATTTGCGATTGCTCGATTCGGAGCGGTAGAAACATCTAAAGGCGAAATGAGCGGGGCAGTCAAGCTCGATGTCGATTCCAGGTGAAGGCCCTTACAGCCGGAGCGGATCACTCGTTGGCGTTGAGTGCGAAGGGTATCGTCTACCTGTGGGGTTCGAGCGAGCATGGCCAGCTGGGTCTGGGTCGGAAAAAGCAGCGAAAGCTTCCCGTGCAGCTGAAAACCGAGGGCAAAGCTATCGCCATCTCAGCTGGTGCATATCATTCAGCCTATGTCAATACCGACGGAGTTCTCTACACATTCGGTAAATGCTGTTTTCTCCTTCGTCTCTTTCTCCCAGAACTGGTGGAGCGAAGTCCCGTCGGAACTGCTTCCGGAAGGCCTCCGCAATCTAGATCTCATTATATGACATGCGTGATTATCGACCGAAAGTCTCCTACGAGGCGGCTCGGATCAATTAGACGAGAACCTCCGACTTCCGTTGCACGTCTCGATCGATGGAGTCTCGTGACGCCGTTCCGTCTCTCTGTGCTGACAGAACTGAAGTCCACTCGGAGATAGCGGCTAACCGTACGGTGACTCAGTCCCGGCTGTGTTCCCGGCACACGAACTGGCGTATTTTGATAATGGGCTCACGAAAGTCTCGCGAGAGTCCATCGTCTGGGTCAGTCGATTAATCGACTTATCCGGTCCGGCCGGTGGTGAAGCAATCAATGCAGACGGCGGTGTTTCTTGGCTACGCGCGAATTAATTATTCAAGTAATTCGATGAAGAAAGACCAACTGATTCCCCCTTTCGACTGTAGGCGAAACCGAGCACGGCAAGCTCGGCACGAATTTGGCTCCTAAAAAGTGCCGGAAACCCTCGAAAGTGCCTGACATCCAGGGCCTCGTTACGTCAGTGGCCTGCGGAGGCTCACACACGGTGGCATTAACCTGCGACGGGAGAGCTTACTCTTTCGGAGACGGTAGGTTCCATCATGACGATTTGCGTCGCATGCAGATTACATTAATTTCAATGAGCTTATATTCTGACTGTGAACAATCGAGTCATTCTAACCTGAGGATTCTCTGAATGCTGTAGGAAGCCAAGGTCAGCTCGGTCTCGGCCAGAGAGTTACCCATGCTGGGAGACCTCACTTGATTCAAATGCCCACCGGCGTAAAGATGGCTCGAGTTTCCGCAGGCCAGAGCCACACGGCTTTTCTGAGTGAAGGTCGGCAAATGTACACATGCGGCGAAGGCCGTCACGGAAAGTTGGCTCTCGAAGACGGAGAAATGGGGAGCAACAAATTCAGTCCGATGCTTGTCGACATCCTATCGCTATTTCAAGTCCAGCAGGCAAGTTCCTTGAAAATCAAACATGCAACCCTCTTTTTTATGCGAATTACGGCATCCCAGCGATATGGTTTATGGTTCATGGCGATATGTGGATCTCTCTATGTACTTCCGACATACCGTGATGTTCATCAATCGATTATGCTCTCCAGGTCTCATGCGGAGGCTGCCATACGTTAGTTCTCGTCGTCCCGGGCTTGACGGATCCCCAAGGGAATCGTATGGGAGACTCTCCAATCTCGGCGGCTGTTCAAGCTACGGAATTGACCCTCGCTCGACTGAGGAGACGCTATAAGAGGGCTCTCAGCTACGCTGATCTTTACGCCGACGAAAATGATGGTACGGGGTATTTTCGGAACCTACATCCAAATGAGAGAAAAGCGAAAAAAGACAGTCATGCCCCTCCAGCTATCCCTCATGCTGGTAGGGTTGATGGTTCCTTCGGGATCATCAGAAAAGCGACTGATGGGATCATGTTTCTTCTCCAGCGGAAAAGAGATTATCACGCCACTACTTGAATCTTGACGACTCCACGGCGTTTGGAACTCTGCGTTATATCGACTCGGACGTGGAGTCTGACTGCGGCGATGACGAGAACGCGAACATCAGCGCGGTGAGTACACCTCACGTATTCGAGGTCTGGCTTTTCGTTCCGATAGCTCCGAGTGAATTGAAAGCATTGGCCACATGTAGAGGTGGAATCCTCGCGGCCGGGGAACTTGAAAGTCTCTGGCTCGCGTCCCTGATCGCGGTTCTGGGTCGGAGACATTGTTGGGGAGCGAATTCATCGGGCAATCCGCGATCAATAAATGAAAATCTGACCTCTTGTAGATTCAGTTGTTCTCTGAGGTTTATGAAATTCAAAAAGTGAGTTATGGTTATGATTCATCTGTTTGGCTCCGCCACCTCCCTGCGTTCCTGCCGGGTGCTGGAATAAGAATCTCCGTATTTTCCCTTACGCCTCGTCCTCCGACATGGACCCCGATTCCGTCGTAGCTTTCAGCATAAGCAGCGGACGAGAACGGGAGTGATGCTTTTCCAGTGAACGCCTGCCTTGCACACCCTGGTGGAGGGCTCCGAATCTTACAGGATATGGTTCTGTTCTACGCTGACCCATCGATGCATAACTGTTGATTATTCCAGGCATCGGTGATTTGCATGGATGGAAAAGGAGAGAATTTGAAAAACGGCTCGAAGAAAAACAAATCGGCCAAGAACCACAACAGAGGGGAGAGCGGTGCAAAGGTGTGTGTCTACATCAACGGAGATCGATTTTTGCTGTGAGATTATTCCTTGCGTATCATTCCGCCTGCCACACTTTCAATTGTTGATGTCAGATCTGGGAAGTCAAGCCCGTCCTACGAAACTTCTCGTGCAGTCGAAGGATTGCGCCCTATTCCAATGGAGGGCTCCCTCTATATCGGCTGCCATGTCGATTTTCCCAGTCGCTAGGGTGGAAAGCTTCTCCCCTTCTCCGCAGGACCGCATAGACGAGTCGGCGGAAAGATGGAAACGTTGGCCGAGAACTCTTCCATAGAGTCGTCGATCCACGATAAGAGTAGACGGATCTTAGAAGCTTTGTAGGATGATTCTCATAGAACAACCACACCTACGGGTCGTGGGTCTTCTGGGAGCTCGAGATCCATTTTCTCACTATTTTACCGCTTGCAAAGCACTGTCATCGTTGGGTTGACGTCTTTTCGACCGCAAACTTTCCGACACGCTCATGCGCGAACAGAGCGGAGGTGTTTCGCTCATGTATATTCTGGCCGGAGGTCTCTCCCTCCCGGTCTCGACATCTGGGATATCACTTTCGTTCAGACAGCTCCTCAGCCAAATTCTGGGTTTCCCTCAAAATTCTGTCCCAGGATTTCCAATGTGCTCTGACTGAACGAAACTAGGATTCCATCCGGAAGCCCTCCGAATGCCACAGATTCTTGCGCCTGGCCCGATGCTCCATCCTCAGCTGAAGGAGATAGCTAACATCTCCCATTGAATTTGCAGTCATCGTCTTCATGTACAATCCAGTAGACTTGCACCGTAGGACCACGTGGAGCAGGTTGGAACCTTCTTTATTGATTGACTGACAGCTGGCGATTCGACGGACGATGTGCCCTAACAACGATGAGCACTAGTCTGAGCCAAGTCTTTCAATCGGTGGCACGAAGAAACAGTTCAGCAGCACCACTTCTTTCTTATGACCGACTTCCTCACGCGCTCTGACGGAGTCAGGCGAAAGTTCATTTTGATCGTACGCCGACGGCCCAGAAGAACGCATCCAGTACAACTCTGAGTCTATTTACATTTAGGGATCACTGACCGCGAGCTATTTACCTACTATACGCTGCACAGCTACGCTGAACGAGTTTCGTGTGCCTTTTTTTTGTTGAAACGCTGTCCTTATCGACAACGACTGTAGACGACGGATGGCTAGCGATTTCGAGAGCGTGACCTAATATATTTTTGTTTCTATCCTGATCACTTTCGGAATGACGGGTAATCACTGACACAACCCGCATACGAAGAGCAATACCTCTTGAAACACATTTATGGAGTGCCCGAAGGCTTTACATTACTTTTCGCCAAGCTGCGTTACTCTATACCAATTATTGGAGTTTTATAAGAAACGGCATTTGGAATCTTCGATGACCATAATTCTCATGCAGGTTGGAACTGTTGACTTACACACGAGTCTATTCTGAATGGAGCGCGAAAATAAAAATTCCGAACGTTCGACAAATTCTCGTCGAACGAGCTCACAAATGAGATTCATGAACGAGAAACCTTGCGAGATTCCACGATTTTCATCCCTATCGCACGATTCCCTGGCTCCTTCTCCTCCGCTAGCTCGCTTGGCGTCCCACGACATAATGGTCCCTGGGTAAGGGTCGCGCACCTTCTAGCTGGGTACCTCCGAACACAGGGAGTGTACACTGTGATAGCTCCGAACCACAAACAGAAATCTACTCTACACTTTATATATACTACATGTTATGTGCAATAAGGCTCGTGCACCTCTGAATGCCAACGTGAGAATCGCCTCCATCGGGGAACCCGTTCGAAGCGGCTGGAGTTGATATATTATTTTCAGCTTCTGTTCCAATATCGAATTGGGCTTCATGCATACATATATATCACAGTCTTGGATCACAGCACGTGGATTTCAATCTCTATCTGTTATCGAGAGATATTTGGAGCGTTTCGTCTCTCGTGGGATCGCTGATTAGAGCCTTAGGCCTCTTCTCGTTCCTCGGAGGATAAATTTTCTCTCTCAGAGTCTCCCAACAGTGGGAGGCCTGTGCGAGAATCGAGACCTTCCGCTTGAATCCTCATCTGACAGCTATCAGTGCAAACATTGACCGATGGGGAATCTCCCCGGAAATCCAAACAGAAATCATATCGAAACCTCAGAATACCTGTTTCTTTGGGAATTTACAACGTGTTCATGTTGCGTGTGTTCACTATCCGAGTGCTTTACTCATTTTATGACTGTTTGTACAATCACCTTGGGGCAAGATTGATATCAACTAACTGACTGAGTGATCGACGGATCTGACTGATACCTGCTACTATCCTAATCGTTGAGCGACCAATTATCGTCTGAGATTGCAACGATTGTTCGCGTTTTGTGTGAAGCTTTTCCACGGATCGAAACCGGTGATCCGCAGAGTATGATTTGTCCGAGAATTCCTGACCAATATATTGTAATAAAATTTCATTGAGTGACTAATTGCTCGCATTTGATCTTTAGATAATAATCGATAAGATCCCGCGAGTCCTTCTCGACGCTCTGGGTTAGGCTGTAGGTTCTCTCCGTGGCTTACATACCTCAGAGACAGCGTCCTCGGAAATGGAATTTCTAGAGCTGCTGAGCTCAGATCAGTATGAGACGGAATACATTCGATATGCTCAAGATGACTCTCCCCATTCGTTTCAGGCAAGTTTCAGACACTTCTACGTCCGAGGAGATTTCGATCGAATGGGAGAATCTATAGGGGGGGGAGCGTGTCGGCTCCGCAAATATTTTCAACTCAGTACACATGTATGGTCCATAGTACGGACCCTCCTAGTACGGCACTCTCTCATGATTCCGTGACGGCACGAGATATTTTGAATGCTAAAATGAAGGCTCGGCTATGCGTAGGGCTGCGCAGCCATGAACGGAGTGATCCATAATGCTCGAAGAGAGTCAGAATGGTTTCCACTGGTAGCTCTCCCGGAGAAGGACCAGAGGCGAGAACAGAAGAGGACAACGCTCCATAAACGGGCTCCTGCTTCCCTGGAGAAAGACGTCTATGCTGCATCAATGGCAGAAGAAACTTGTTTCCGGCCCCCGGCAAACGCTACTGATTACTACGCCAACTTCCTAGGTATCTCTCGAGAAAAACTTCCATCATCATGAAGCCCGACTAGTGCTTCAACGCTGATTCGATTCTGTCAAAGAGGACAGGAGACTTGAGCTGTCTGTACTGAAAAATCCATCGAGCGCTCGAATCTCTCAAAGCCTTTGGTTCCCTTTGGCCGCTGCTGTGACTGCCCTCACTCGGTTGCGTGTCCGGCGCACTCATCTTTCCCGACATCAGCCAGCCGCGGCTCTGGTCGTTGTTGGTGGTGGCGGCCCGCTGCTCTCGGAGGGAAGGCAGCTTTACCAGACGGATAGAACGAAACAGACCAGCCAGCAGCGGCACTCGTCGACTGGAACGCCCAACATGGCCGAAGATACCACCTTAGAATCAGTCGAATATTTCCTCCAATGTTTCTATTACGTGTTTCTGCCGTTGGTGCTCTTATCTGGGATAGTGTGCCTCGTGAAGAGTACGATTCGGAAGACTAAATTCTACGAAGGCAAGGAGCGGTTGGATGGCAAAACCATCGTCATCACCGGTAGGTCGAAGCTCCTTGCAAAAGAAATAGATGTCTCGATGTGTTGACAGAATAAGTGCCCTGGTCTGAATGCTGATTCTCCGACTCTAAGATAATCGCGTGGACTTCTCAATTCACATTTCCTTGTCGTGTGCTTCGGGAGTTTCTGTTCATCCGAGACCACGTAGAAGGCTTCTTTCCAGCGTTCTGTCTCCATTCTCGGCTGTTATTCTAAGAATAACTGACTTGCTTGTGAACGAGGTTATAGAAGGTGTCTGAAACAGGCCAGGCTTCCGGCAGCCTATCAGACCAGTCTATCAACGAGAACGTGACACCGACTCCCGTACAGAATCGTATCGCCCGGAGGTCGGGCTAGAGCTCGACTGATTACCTCTGGCAGATGTCATTGCATGACTCCGAGTCGCAGAAAAACAACATGATTTCTGCGTCGCTCTTCAGCTCAGAGATCGCTTTTGCCGCTCGGCTAGATTCTAAGTAGATAATCGAAACGAGTTGAGTGCATTGACAAGCTTGTTCAAATCAGGGGGTTCTAATGGGCTCGGACGTGCCCTGGCGGTGGATTTATGTCGTCGTGGAGCCAGGGTCATCTCAGCGTGCCGGACTCGACTCCGCAGAGATTCAATTTCGGTTTTCCTCCGGGAAAAAAGTGGGAGCTTCAACCATCGCGTGATGTACATGGATTTGAACAATCTCGAATCCGTGAGGAACTTCGCCCAAGAGCTCTGCGAGACTGAAGCGCGAGTCGACTGCCTGATCAATAACGCAGGTAAACCTCGGTGAAAACCCTGATTTCCAACACGGCGCTCGTCCTCGCGTCGAGCAGAACCTCAGGAATCACTGGCATGGGAGATATTTTCGGCGAGACGTTCCACACTTTAGAAATCTGATATTCTTGGGAAACTCACGACACAACAATGTTTTCGAAGGTGTTATCTGCGACCGTGACTTCACTGCTGATGGCATAGACCGCATGATGGGAATAAATTACGTCGGACACTTTCTCTTGACGAGCCTGTTGGCTGAGAAAATTATATCCACGCCGGAAAGCCTTGGTCGAGTGATCAGTATCACTGGAGGGACCTTCACGGGAAGTTCTCTCGATGATCTGAGAGATCTAGAGAACAAGAAGAAAACTGGTAATATATTGCATCGCGTTGAGTGCTTGGCTGTCTCAGGAAAGGAACGTCGAAACCTTGAGGACATTCGAAATTGGGAATGAATGGAAAACTCCTAGATTCCGTCAAACGACTCGTTTCCAGGTTATGATCTCAGGAGCGTCTACCGATCCTCGAAGCTCGGGCTGTATTTGATGAATAGGGAGCTGGCGAAGCGTTACAGCCAATTCGACATTTGCTCATTGTGCGTAGACCCTGGACTGTTGAATACGGATTTCTACAAGA